GGTCCCGCTGCCTCTGGTGGCCAACGCATCGAGTACGACTGCCGAATCTCCGACGACGAGCGCCAACTCCCGTACTCGACTCCCATGTATGTCCGTGAAGGTCAGTAATCGTCGCCATTTGACAAGCTTTTCTTGAAAGAGATCTTTGACTAACAAACAAATCAGGCGCCATCATCCCCAAGGTCGGCGTCAGGGACTACGTTGCCGATCCCAGCACGACCCCTCAAAACGCCAACCCCATCACCGTCCACGTCTACCCCGGAAAGGACAACGTAAGGACTGAGATCCCTGCTTCTATCAAGACTTGTTGTGACTGAAACACCTACAGATCTACGACATGTATCTCGACGACGGTATCTCCAGGGACAGCGCGCCAAAGAACTCTACATTGGAGACCGCCGTTGGCGCGCGTCCCTGGTACGGCGAGGCACACCACTACGACGGTCTTGCTGATGCCCAGGCTAACGACAACTACACAAAGGTCCAGATCAAGCAGGTACGTCGCATTCATCTCGTTCTAAAATTCTACAAGACGTGGACATTGTCATTCAGGAACAGAAAAAATGCTGACAATCACGGTAGTTCACCCAAAAGAGACTCTCCGACCAAGAGGACTTCGGAAAGTACACCCGCAGACTCACAGCCAACGCGCCCCATAACAAGTTCGGCGCCGAGGCGTCCAAGTACATTGGCACAGACTACACCTTTGTCTTTTGGCACCGCGGAGAGAGCAACCTGGACTCCATCAAGGTCAACGTCACGGGCGCGGACCTCCACTACAACGTCAACCACGGCGTCAGAGCGACCATTGTTACTGTTCCCATTTCCGCGGTTCACTCGGAGAAGGGAGTCGAGATCACGTTGGAGTTTGACGGGGACTATTAAAGGCTGGTCTGAGGGCTTGAGAAAGATCATGCCGGAGATGCTTGGTTGCTCGAAGGGTACATGTTCCCCGTTGTGCTTTTCGTACCAGTAGTTGCGCTTCATGGCGAAATAATGCCCAACCTATCGTTTATTCTCCTCTGTAACAATACATTGCGCCATATGTTCAATGAGGCTGCAGCTGAGTGCCCTTGGGCAATTGACAGCCTACAGAAAGTAGCGAAAGGTGAGCAGTGGGAGTCTTTTAATTCAGAAAGGTCTAGGGTACATCCAGCTCAACCAAGCTCAGCCGTAGCAAATCATTCAGTACAGGCTCATTATCAACACATTCGAAAAGACTGAAACCCATGTCAGCCTGAGAAACCAGTTTGCAGACGTCTAAATCCCTGTCGTCGAAAGTCTGCCGCAATGAAGTTCTATCCCGCATGATCACTTGTCTCGTAAAACGCCAGACCAACCAATCCTTCCAGCACCGCCGCAAGTTTCATTCATCGTAAGGTTCATAAGAAGGTTGTAAAAGGGGGATCGAGAAGGTATAGAAATAATCGGTCCCTACGCGTCCGGTCCGGAAGGGGCATGGATGCCGTGAAAGCCAATGCCAACGGCGAACTCGCACTCTGCCCTGCCGAGCTCCGTCATGGTCCTGGCATCGAGGCACAAGAGATAACTCGTCTGCGCGGTGCCGTCGAGCACGACGCTCAGAATCACACCGTCGTCTTCGGCCATCTGTCCATCGGTACCATCGGCGCCGCCAGCGGATGAAGAAGGCCGAGGAACAAAGATTGGCTCGCCGGGCGTGTGAGCCGTGGGACACTCCCACATGAGAGCTTCGGCAGTATCGGCGTCCGTCTTGACGATTGTGTCGAGAAGGGTGCTGAGGCCGCGGTCCGAGAGGCTGTAGACGTAGCGGTGACGTTTCGTCAAGTGCGCAGGGTTGATTGTGGGGAGTTCGCCGGCGTGCGGGGCCGGGATCGACACCACGAGCTCCGGTGGTGGTGTAGTCGTCACTGTTGTTATCTTTTGTGTTTGTGAATCGTCGGGTTTGGGGATTCTGAATTTGAAGCGTTGGAGGCTAGCCCAGCCGTTCTTGTAGCGCTTGTTCTCGTCTGTCCAAAACTTCTCGCCGGCAGAGTTGCGATTCATGATGACGTCGTAGTAGAGATTATAGAGAATGTTGAGATTTTGGTAGCCTGCTATCTCGCAATAGACGTCAAGCATGCCGTCGCTGCCGTCGGCCGCCGGCTCCTCAAAGGCGTTTGTGGCATGGAAGAAGAAGCCCGCGGGGGTGTCGAAAGAGGCGATGACGCCGTTCCCCTGGTGGCGATCGATGAAATACCACTTGCATGTGTTGGTCTTGTCGAACGGCACAATGGCGTCTAGAATGTTTCGTTCCCAGGGGACAGAGAGGCCTTTGTAGCCCAAGTGCGACGAGGGAATGCATAGCACGATGAACGATTCTGTGAGGAAGAAACTGTGGATGTAGGCTGGCTTCACGTCGGGCCCGGCAATAGTTGCAAGAATCTCCGTCTCGCCTGTCGCAAAGCTAGTGCGGAAGATGCGGTAGGTCGACTTCATGGCGAAGGCAAGGTTGAAGTTGTACATGTCGCCGGTAACCGGGTCGCGCTGGGCGTGGGCGCAGGACATGGGGCCGGAGAGAGACGGATGGAGTTTTTCCTGCTTTGCGAGGCCGATGGGTTCCAGGGTCGCTGGGTCAATCTCCATGAGAGGGCTTGAGTCGGTTGATAGCCAAAGGCTGCGGACAGCGTTACGGTGGCCTGGCCCCGCGGGGCCTTGATCTTTCGTATCGAAGCCGGGGACATTTGCGTTGACGGCAACGCAGATATTGGGAGCAGTGCCGCGGGCGAAGACGCCCATAAACTTGCCAAACATCCCGACACAAGGGTCGGCTTGTTGGCCAAAGGTGTAGCGGTTCTGGTGGCCTGCGGCTTTGATGGAGGCGACGAGGTCGTCGGATTGCCGTCTGGAGGAGTAGAGCACGCGGGTCTGACCGCCTGGGGATTCAGGAGGAGTAATGTCAAACTTATGCGTCTGGGCGAAGCCGTCGAACCAGTGGGAAACGTAGTAGGTGCCCTTGGGTGTGTCTTCGATCTTGCAGCTGCCCGGGCCCGTTCTATAGAGGGCGCCGGCGGCCCAGACTGGGATCTGGCCTTGGACGTGTAGTTCGATGGGACCGCGTTCCTCGGTGAGGCCATCGAACTAGAGCTGTTAGCTGGCGTCTTGGAGGGCATTGATGTAAGAGAAGGGGAGGCTCACGCCTGCCTCATTTGGCCATTCTTCGTAGGGCGCCCTGAGACGGTTCTCCTCGAACATTTGAAGGTCTGCTTCCTCGTCTTTGGCGGTACGCCTGACGGTTCTGGCTGGGATCTTGGTGTTGGTAGACATTGTTATGGAGGTCGTAGTCGTTTTGGTTGTGGTTGTGGTAGCCATTTTGGGACTTTATCTATGTAAACAGAAATGAATGGGCGACGATTCGGTGGTGCTGGATTTGCAGCTTGGTGTGTGCCGTCTAATTCCAAGGTCAGTGACATTTGCGAGTTGTATACTGAGGCAGAAGTATGCATGAGGTAAGATGAGTAAGAGAGTAGTGAGTGTGTTCACTCAAGAATACTGCACGGACAGCAGATGTCGAGTGAAAGACACTCAAGATGAGGCACACGCATGAAAGCTGCCACGTGAACTGGCAGGTATCAACTTACGCTATTTTTCAGCCGGTGTTTGCTAGTTTGCTAGTGACCGGATCGGTGCAAGTGGCCGGTGAGGCTCGGTGTATCGGTGAGGTAGTGTAGTTGTCGTTAGAGTCGGTGAGTTGTGAAAGAAGTGAAGAATCCGCTATGCAAGAGGTGGACAATCTTTTGGCCCCCAGGAAGAAGAAGCAAATATTGTTGGTCGGCGGCATCTAATGACCCATGTCAGAGAGGCAGCACAGATGGATGAAACGTAGGCACGATGAGATCCTAGATGAGCTGCAGAGCGGAGATGAGAAAGAGGGAAGAGGATGGCGATCTTTTAAGTAAGGTAGGTAGAATGCATATGTATGTTGACGGGCCATGGGATGGGTCTGCTTACATGACGGTGTTGCTACGCAGGATGTTAGGCGATGTACAAGCATTAAGCGCCGGGAGCATTCATCAAACGGGATGAATGAAGCAGTGCGGCGTGAGTATGTGAGATGTATCTCAGTACTCCGTAAACGTAGGTAGGTGACTGTGAGGGCGATACGGGGGAGACGAGCTGAATGGTGCGAGAGCGAGATACCTACCTACTGTTGCGAGAGGCGAGTAATTATCGACCGGGGGCACAGAAGTGCGGTGAAAACGGTTACGGACGTAGGAGCGGGTGGTTGTTCGATTAGTTGATGAGGGGTGTGTGTGTATGTGTGTGTGTGTGTGTGTGTGTGTGTGTGTGTGTGTGTGTGTGTGTGTGTGTGTGTGTGTGTGTGTGTGGATGTCCAAGGTGAGAGTGAGCAGAGTGAATGAGAAACTTTTGGTCGTCAATGGTCGATCGATACCACTTTACCAGGCGTGTTGGTGAGATGGGACGGGGATTGAGATACCCATGCGCAACCCACGATGCGACCAAGACGGGATTCCGAGTAAGCGATGCGAAGAATCGGATTGAAAAATCTCAGATCCGATCAGACAACTAGGTAGAAAAGCAACGTGATTGCGACAGTACAGCGGAACGGACGCGAGGAGAAGGGGATTGATTCACAACTCCCAGGATAACTTGACGAGGTAGGTAGCGGAATTCTCATGCAAGCCGTTTTGGAGAAGGCGGCGCGGGCGGGACGGTACGGCCGTAGCAGGGCGGAGGATGGTCAATGTGCGCGGCACCAAGAGGAGCCTATTGATGCGGGCTTTTTACCGAATCCAGACAGCTTCCAAGTTAAGGAAGAGTGGCATACGGAGTAATAGTATGAGCTTTGCAAGCCAGTAAGGGTCTGGGCAGTTCCCGAATGTGTGGTATTGGTGGTGTTGCTAGGTATTGTTGTTGTGTGTTTGGGGTGGCACAAGCGACAAAGTGACATTTAGTGGCGGTGGGTGTTGGTGGTGTTGGTGTTGGTGTGAGCAAAGCGGGAGCGGGAGCGGCTTGTTAAGATGGATGTCGACTGTCTTTACTTTTTCCTTCTTCTCTTGCTGCTTCCCGTCGGCCAGAGTAGATGGGTAAAGTATTGGAGAGAGAGTCAGACATACGCATGAAGAAGTGAGTGGATGGTTCATGTCATCATTGATTCAGACAACGGTGCCAACGGCGGGATTGCAGAAGACCGAGGCTCCCGCTGCACCTGCCATGGCGTCGTCATCGAAAAAAGGGTGACCATTTGGCGCTGCCACAGACAGCATGTGTCAAACTGTGTAGGCCGTCGACGGGTGCAACAAGCACAAGCGTGCAACAAGCCTCTCTCTTCCTCTTGGTTTCTCAGTCAGCCACACCCGAAACCCCAAAAGCCAAGGTGAAAAAAGATCTGACCGACCTTTGATATGCCCTGGCCCCTGGCCATGGGGATGGAACGATGGAGTATGGAGCTACTGAAGAAGCTTATGTCGGACTTTCAGTTTGGAATGTCAAGTTCCATCGCGTACGGAGTAGATGCTAGTGCGCACTGCGTGCATGTTCATGTCATGTCGGAGCGTGGAGACTTTTTTTTTTTTTTTTGGTGAGATGTGCGATCGATGCAACGTGATCATGGAATGATAACCGAGTACTGATATCAGACCGCATTCGCCCAACGTCAGATGAGACCCATGCCACCGTAGATCAATCAATGTGTCTCTCAGTTCTCGGGGTTTCCTGTGTGCGGCCTGCCCATGTCGGACGGCACGCACCTGTCAATGAGCCCCATTGTTTCGTTTCGAGCTGCTTCGTCCAGCGGTGATGCAGAAAGAAGTTGGTGAACCTCCCAGCCGGGATTGCTTCTTCTTCTTCTTCCGCTTTCTTCTCTTTTTCCTTGTTGATTCGTTGGTCGGCTGGTCGATTGGCGATGGCCCCGGTGAGAGGGAGAGTGGAGGTGTTGGTCTGGGCCCTGCACTGTGGGCATTTCACCTCAGCCTGGAAGATTCAGGTTAGGTACGTATCCCCAGTCGCCGGGGACTTTGTGTGGAAGAACATCGGGAACAGCAGCGACTCATGGCAGCGGATTAAGCGAGGAAATCCACTCGGCCGGCAGAACCTGGGATTACCTAACCTCCGTTCCGTGTCTCACATCCTGGCACGTGCTTGGTACCTCAGCTTAGGTAAGGCACCGTAAGGCACTCAGGTACCCTGCTACGGCCTCTTCAACTGAGGTGCTGCTCCCGCGTTCAAATGCTCCCGCGTTCAAATGCTCCCACGTTCAAATGTTCCTAGCCCTCAGCACATATTTGGTCACCGTGAGATGTTCCGCCCAGATGCAACGCTCAGCTACATACAGGCCACGAAAACTGATAAACCATGTGGCTTCTATAGTGATAGCTTGGCATTCAAGTCACGTACTTAAGGAAATACGCCTCTGATGCTGCAGCAACGGCTTCCGACCCGATCGCGGCATGGCGGCCCCACAAGAGCTCCGGCTTTATTCCACACCACCTCCGTCAGCGATGGCTACAGCCAATGGCCTCTCTCTCATGGCTCGCCTCGGCCGTCACTATCACTTTAGTACCTTGCCTTACCTACTTGATGTTATCCCATGGACAAGAATGGTAGCCACATATATCATTGCCTCTTCTCTCATCGCATGGAACTGAGACGCGCCTCGTCACACAGTTGTCCTTGTCTCGCCGTGTCCCTATATGTCAGTTAGCCACGGGTCACCACGGACTACCGCATACTGACAGGCTCGCGGTGTCACCTACATTAATTCGGCAGTGTATGGCTCACATATCCGCGCGGATCCTCGCTGTCTTCCCTTCCGTCCAGAGCGGGAAACGTGCAGAATCGATTGATTAAGATCGCCCCTCAATGGGCCTCTGGAAGGTACGCCTACGCTGTTCAACGTCTACCGTTGCACAGCACATTGCGACCAATCTCTTGGTAGCACGACATCATGTTCTGGCCAAGACGTTATTGTGATATCGCAACATGCTTTGCGCCTTCTTTGCACTTGATCAAATCGTGTCGCGGCAATTATGGGCTTCATTCGAGACAAGTCGAGGTCGACTCTGCAGCTTTAGCAACCACTATCGTAAGTTATTGACGCGTCGTTCTGAGCAAATCCATTGTCGGATTGGGGAAACTGGAGAGAACATAACTAAAGGCTGTGGCAGTGATAGGTGAGAAAGGTCCGGTGAAAGCTTGTAAGCCGTCAACGGTGAGACATTCTCTCAGCTTTTTGGCTCTAAACTTCAGCTTCCAGCCACGCAAGCCGGGTAACCAGATGCGTCGATTAGGCTTCATTAAAGATGCGGGGAACGATCATCTGTGGCATATAGCGAGCATACAATCCCTATTTCGTTCGAATAGCATCCGTCAAAGTTGGCACATCATGGCATTTAGGGTTCATCAAGCTGAATGTGAACGACTGAAAACATCTTTGGAGAGGTTGGTACCAAAATACAGCACTTAGTATCGACATGAGGGTTGGATATCCTTTGGCTATATCTACCTGGTAAATACTCACATTCTCACAATAAATCTCTATCAACTTGCCCCCCAACTTTTCAAACTCACTTCTTTTGAGAAATCATCGAGTGCCTCATCAAAGTCTCAATATGGGCGGAACAATCACAAGAAAGAACATCCGCACATTGTCTACAAAGGAGCTCGACGACCTCGTCAGGGCATTCCACGGCATCCAACAGCTTCCCCCTCATGACTCCAACTCCTTCTTCATCATTGCCGGTTACCATGGCGAGCCTTTCAGGGGTGCTGGATACGCCAATCCTGCTTGGTGGGGTGGTTACTGCAACCACGGCAATGTCCTCTTCCCAACTTGGCACCGCGGCTACCTCCTGAGGCTCGAAAAAGCTCTCCAGAGCCAGGTCCCCGGTGTAGCTCTGCCCTACTGGGATGAGACCGAAAAGGAGTCCCTGGAGCACGGCATTCCTCCCATCTTCCTGCAGAGAAAGTACAAGTTCTCCGACACTGGCAAGGAGATCTCCAATCCACTGTTCTCGTACACGTTCCAGGCCAGAATCCAGGATAGGCTCGATCCTATCCCGGATGCCGACTACACCAAGCCTGTGGGCTATGAGACCGTCCGCTACCCATTCTCGGGGCTTGTGGGCCCGAAGGACAAGAACAAGACCTGGGTTCACAACAATTCGCTGCATGAAATGGGAGAGAAGGCCACCAACAAGATGCTCAATGACAACATTACCACCTGGCTCACCAAGTCTTCTTTCTTGAACAGCGACGGGAAAAGGCAATCTGCCGGAGTCAAGGATAAGTATTACCACTGCCTTGACGCTCCCAATTACACTGTATTCTCCAATACGACTTCCGCGCAGCAATGGAACGACGAGGGCCTTCAAGGGCCCGGGTTCAAGTCCGTCGTACCGCTCGAATCCCCGCACAACTTGATTCACTTGGCCGTCGGCGGTTTCGACCTACCTGGCAGTAACTTTGACCAAATCGGCGACGCAAACGGCGACATGGGCGAGAACGACACGGCCGCCTTTGACCCAATCTTCTACTTCCACCACTGCTTCATCGACCTCATGTTCTGGCGGTGGCAGAAGAAGCACAACAAGGAGCACTCACTCGAAATCATCCAGGGCTACCCCGGCACCAACTCCGTCGACAATCAGGGCCCAACGCCCGGCGTGGCGGGCGGCACCTGGCTCACCCTCGACAGCCCCCTCGACCCGTTCAGGAATCCTCACGGCGCGGACAAGGCAATGACGTCCAAAGACGTGGTCAATATTGCCGAGCTGGGCTACGCATACGACTATCCCGAACCCCCGACGCGGGTCGGCGAGCCTCATGGTCCGAGTCCCGTGTTGACCGTCAGCGGCATCAACCGCGCCGCCATCGGGGGTTCCTTTGTCGTTTCCGCCTGGGCCACGTTGAAGAGCGGGGAAAAGGTGCTGGTCGGGACGGAGGCCGTGCTCAGTCGTTGGCACGTATCTGGGTGCAAGAATTGCCAGAACCATTTGGAGGTCAGGACACATATACCGGTTGAGGGCTGGACGAAGAAGGATACGGACAAGATGGAGTTTGAAATTGGGCTGCATACCCGGAATTTGAGCGGTGTTCCCAAGGACGGGCGTGGCGAAGGGGTTCAGAAGCCGAGATTCAGCCTTGAAACTGATCATTTATAGTTGTTCCTTGCAGAGATTGGCTGAACGCTTTTGTCTTCTTAAGGCTTCATTACTAGACCTGGCACTACGTTTCACAAAAGTATCCTGGCTTTTTAAATCTGGTCCTATCTCCATAGTAACTACTGCGAAGTGGCCTTATGATGTTGAGTCCTGCACATGTGCCACAAAGTGACAGTGCGAAATTGCAATGTGAGGTGCCCTGGCTTCCTTCTGAGGATTGGCGACTCACTGAGGATCCATGCGATCATAATGCCAAGATGTTGGTGTTGGATCGGTCGTCTTGAAGCATGTAAATGGACACTTACATCTAGGCCGGCATACCCTCTCTATCTTACATTGCCTTGTGCCGAACGGGCTGCGCCTGCAGCGTTTACGAATCGCAAAGCCTGCTCTCAAAACGCTTTCGCAAACAGCCCTTCAATTAGATCTACTGGCAAGACTTGGCGGGAACTGAGGGTTTACTCCAAAGTCACAAGCTTGAGGCTGATAACTTACAGGGGATACGGAACTTTAGAGTTGCTGTGATCTGCGATCATCCCAAAACCAACTACCTACAGAGGCTTGATCTTAAACTTGACAAAGACCCCAAATATCCGGTACGAAGCTTCCATCCTCATGGACGAGCTTTGGCATTATACTTACAGGCTACTAACTCATGCAGTTGCTGTTCGTTGCCTAAGTACTGAGGCGAGCTGACATCTTGACACAGCATTTGATGTTCTCTTTTGGTTGGTGCTCCCCCCTCTGATTCGTTACTGTCAGGTCCACCCGTCTTATTCCCCGCACGTGAAGACAATGTTTGTTGTTCTCAACACACTCAACACTTCGCAAGGATGATGGACCCAGTCGAGAATATTCCTAAACCAAGCCATACCACATCCCAGTATAATTTCCGACAGACCGTCCAAACCTTGGACCCGAAGTACGTGCCGTCGGCAGAATGCGGCGCTCTCCGGAGAAGGCTAGTCATCGTGGGCGACGTTCATGGACGAGCATCACAGCTGCAAAAGCTCCTGGACAGAGTCGGCTTCGATAAAGATGCGGGGGACTACCTAGTTTTTACCGGTGATTTGGTCAACAAAGGCCCCGACAGCGCTGGCGTGGTACAGCTCGCGATGGACCTCGGCGCCAGCTGCGTCAGGGGCAACAACGAGGACCGCGTGCTGGCTGCGCGTGGGTTCATTGAGCGCGGCAGGGTTACTGGGTCTACGGGCGACGACGGGAAGATGTTTTTCGAAGACAGCAAGGAGAAGTTGCCGGCGGATATCCCGTACGCCGTGTCGAGCGACTACGTTACTGCGACGCAGCTTTCTGAGGAGCAGGTATCGTGGCTCTCATCGCTGCCTCTCATCTTGCACATCGGACCGTTCAGAGGCGCCAAGAGTCCTCCTTGGAACTCTGGGACTGTGGTGGTCGCGCATGGTGGTCTGGTACCGCTGCTACCGATGGAGGAGCAAGATCCTTGGGCTGTGATGAACATGCGCAGCCTGGTGTATCCGATCGACGGCGTCCACCCGGAGAACGTTGAAGTTGCTCTTGCGAAGAGGATCAAGAGCCGTCTGTGTCGATATGCGGCATTTCAGGTCGCAAAGGGCGAGGGACTCGATGGTGAGCTGGCACGAGTCTTAAGTCTGTGGGATGGTGATGAGGTTTCAAAGATTGCAACAAATCAAGAGGGGGGGACCATTGCCATTGAACTCAATGATGGAAAACGCTGGAGAGAGGCTTGGAACGAGACTCAGAACATGATTGAAGCACCAGAGGATCGCTCGGTTGTCGTGTATGGTCACGACGCCAAGGAAGGGTTGCAGGTGGAACCAGACATCCAAGTACCGGAATCGCTCAAGGAGAAGGGAGCCCAAGGACCATGGACCAGGTATGCGTTTGGTTTGGATTCTGGATGTGCGTATGGTAGAGAGCTATCGGCAATGGTGATTGAGGCGAGTCCGGATGGGAGTGATGTTATACATCGAATAGAGCAGGTCAAGGGGGTTGAAGAATGAGACGTGGGCTGGTCTAAAGCCAACAAGGTGATGCATGGGTTGTAAGTAGGACAGTTTCCCATGGTGTGCCAAACATCCTTCACTTTAGATAGAGGGGGAGAGAAAGAGCGAGATTTGGGGGATGTGAGAATAGTCAGCTGCATCGTATTGAGTCGTTGGCCCATATGCCAATAGTGCCATAAGTGCGGTCACTCGGCTTAGCAGTCGAAGTCACGAAGAACTGCACAAGTCATTAGCGGGAGCCGCAGAAGAATACTACTGAAAGCCACCTATCTCAAACAAGCAAGAGTAAAAAGTGGGAAATAGTGACAGATTTATCCGACCAAACCACACTAGACGTATACATACTTACATGTGAGTGACAAACCGATCCTCTCAATTCAGTCTGGCTATCCAGTTGAGCACTGTCGTTCCTTATAAGCAGTTGCCAACTTAACGCTCTTCATGCTTTAGTCTGTTCTGCGTTGGCAGAGATGCATGCACAGTCAGCAAAGGACATCCTCATTCCTGGGATAATTGCATCACTGGAGGGGTTACTGTACTGCCCGTGTAAGGGAATTGACCCGCATATCATCCGAACGATTCAACACTCGTCGTCAAAATTGCAGACAAGACAGGCACAGACAAGTCGGATGAAACTGGTCCCCTCATTCACCACTTCAACGCAACCCTTCAATACCTTGGCCGGGCGTTGCTTCTTCTTGGCGCGGGCTAAGATGAGTGGTGACCTTTTGCTTGGCTTGGGCCCTAGCGAGAATGCGGTCGAGGTTCCAAAGTACCTACTAGATAGGTGAGTTATAAGGGACTGACACCCGCCGGAAATATCGGAAGTCTCGGCATCACCGGCTCCGTCCCCCAACGTCATTCTGCCAACTGCTCTCGTACAATACACACTCTTTCCCCCCCTTCTCATCCGCCACACCCCCCTTGTATATCTTTATTCGCGCCCATTCGAAAGGGGAAACACTATTGCAGCTATTTTGTTCGGGAAAGTCGGCTTTCGCGCGCCTTTGCGAGAGAATGTCAGATACCGCCGACGATGAACCCGTATACAAGCGTAAGCGGGTCGCAAAGGCCTGCCAGACATGCCGATCCATGAAATCCAAAGTGAGATTAAACAGCCCAAGTCTCTAACATCCTTTCTTCCGCATTGACATTATACCTATGTGTTCACAGCTTACTCATACAAATTGATAGTGCGACGGGAAACAGCCAAAGTGTGGAAGATGCGTCGGGTATGGCTACGACTGCGTCTACTCCGTAGGAAGACCTCGTCGACGACGGGAAAAGGCCACCGGCAACGGAGATGCCGGCGCAGAAGGTCCAGCAGCCGGATCTGGCCCCGGCGCGCATACGTATGCCCCCTTTAAGATCGCCGTAGATCAGTATGAGACTCTAGTGCAGAGCCTCATCACACAGCTACCCTCTGCCCAACAGCAGCAAGACGCCCAAGCGCAGCTCAACTCCATCAAGTCGCAAGTTGACCAGGCCGTGAATAAGACCTCCTCGACAGAGACGCCGTCATACTCGCCGGGCGTGGACCGTGGACAGCACAACCACCACGATTACCAACCTTCCCCGACACCTTCGCTCAAGCCTAGCCAGAGATACTTGGGCGAGGTCAGCGACGTGCACTTCTTCAATGTCATTAAGCGAATCCTACAGACAAAAGACGCTCCCGGCGGCGGCGGCGGCGGCGGTGGCGGCAGCAGTGCAGGGGCGGACCACGACTTTGACAGCTACGAACAGGACGGCGACGCGCTGCTCGCCGGCGCTGCCGCAGGAGGGAGGCTGGTGGAGCTTCCAGGCCCCGAACAGGAGCGCAAGTTCACCGACGTGTACTTTGCAACCATTCACCTCGCGTACCCTTTCATACCGCAGTCTACCTTCTCGAAACTGTGTGACAGGATAGGGGGCGCGCCCAACGGCGGTGATCGTTTGGGTGGCACGGAATCTGCTCTTTATTGTAGGTTTGAATCATGCGCCCCTTTTTCTATCAACCTCCCTGGGAGCCGTGGGATAGCAAGATAAGACGGGGCTAACGTAAGTCATAGATGTAATCTGCGCCATTGGCTCATATTATACGTCTTTTCTGGAGAAGAACTCGGATACCCGCCATTTCCACGGCGTCTACTTCCAGCGTGCTTTAGCTCTTGCTGCATCAACGGCATCGTCGGATCGGTCCATTAACCAGGTCTCACTGCTTCTGACGCAATGTTTCTATTATCTCGCGGTATCTCGGACGGACAGGTTTGTTTTGCATTGTCTCACCATGTCCCATTACACACATCTAACATTCGCAGCTGCTGGATGACCCTGGGCCAAGCCGTCCGAATCGCTCAAGGTATCGGTCTACATGTCGAAAAGGACAAGAACAACCCCCGGCACACGGTAGAAACCGAGACGCGTCGCCGGGTGTGGTACTCCATCTACGTCCTGGACCGTCTTCTCTCCCTCCAGCTGGGCCGCCCCGCGGCCGTACACGAGGACGACTTCAATGTACCGCTCCCTTCGCGGCGTGCCGACTCGGAGATTGACTGGGAGGCCACTCACATGGAGCCGCCGGTCGAGGAGACGTCGGGCGGGGACTACTTCCTCGCCGTCATTGGTTTCTCGCAGATTCTAGGCCGCGCGCTGCGGGATGTTTTTGGGCCGAGGCACTCGCAGCTCACCTCTGCGGGTGCCCTCCGGACGAGGGAACTGGATCGCCAGCTTGTGGATTGGAAGTCGAAGCTCCCGCGACGGTTGCGATTTGATCTGGGGCATGCCTTTGACCAGAACTTTGCATTCAAGAGACAGGTAGGTTTCTACAGAAGTGGTCTGCGCTGTGTACGCAAACTTCAACATAGTACTAACAAACACCAGCGAAACATCCTCGCAGTCAAGTTCCACCACCTGCGGGCTCTTCTGCACCGGCCATACCTGTGCTACCCCCTCCTCCGCGGCCTCGACGACACGTCCTCCACACTCTCCGAGGTAGACTGGCATCTCGTCAGCATATCAGAAAAGACATGTGTTGCCGAGGCGCGGGAGACGGCGCGGCTGCTGCACGGCGTCTCGAGCGAGAAGGACCTGGTCCACGACTTCCCCTGGTGGCAGATGATTTCGTGTCTCTTGTGCGCGAGCTCCATTCTGTTGATATCGAGTACGTTTACGCAGCCCATGGCGGAGGACGAGGCCGTCTTTGACACCGAGGGCCTTTCGGACGATGCGGAGACGTGTCTCAAGATGTTTGAGGCATTGAGCTGCAACTCGTCGAGCGCCAAGAGCGCCCGGGATATGTTGAAGGGGCTCAAGGAGTGCGGCATCGACTGGAAGAGCAAGAACCCGCCCCGGCCGGCGGTGTTCGCTGAGATGCCGCAGCAGCAGCAACAGCATCAGCAGCAGCAACCTCAGCATCATGTTCCAAATAGCTCGATGCAGGCGCAACATCAGGCGCAGCAGGCGATGCTGTCGCCGGTGGAGATGGGTGCGTTGAGCGGGATGCCGGACTCTGCTACCGCGCAGGATATGGGAATGCTTGAGATGGGTGTGGCTCCTTTGGCGCCCGGCCAGTGGCCGGCGGAGATTGTGGACTCGATGGCGTGGTCTGCGCAGTTCTTTGATGCCATTCAGGGGTATGGGAATGGCGAGTAAGGGGCATGTTTTGGCGGGATCAATGCTGTACTAACATAATGATGTAAGTTGGTTATCATGTACAAAAGTCATGTGTACATTTAGTTCAAGAGAGGCAGTAAGGTATCTTGAGATGATCAGCATCAAGGCAGTCCATCGCAGCCAAGTCAATGATTCGTTGATGTAGATGTGAACGGATTGGTAGCAAGACAATGCCTCAACTCATCGTAGGCTCAACTTTGTTTGGTTATAGGATTTTGCCATCTAGAAATGATTTCGCTTCCGACAGGAGGGCCTCTATATGTCTATTTAGAGGCCAAGATAAGGTAGAGTAAGGTGAGGTAAAACAATGCAAGGTGAGGTGAGGTGAGGTGAAGGGTGCACCTTGTCAAGATACGTACCCAGGTGGACTGCCGGGAGCTTCGACCTCCGGACGGTCCAGGCGGCGGGGCAATCAGCCACGAGCAATGACAGCCAGCGCCGGCAGCGCCCAAATCACCCCGCAACCAAACCCCCAAAAATCAATCCCAAATCTCAATCTCAACCCCCGAAAGTAAACAATCTCTCCGATTTCCTTCTCCCCGATTCCGGTGCCCCCCGGATCCATCATCACTTGCTCCGTTCGACGACACCGATATCGACAGCGGCACCATTCATCGAAACCGTCAATCGACACCCCGAATTCCATCACGATGGCCCCCGATGCCAAACCCGCCAAAGCCAGCAAGGCTAGCAAGACCGACAAGTCGGACAAGGAGGATAAGTCCAAGGTGCACAAGCTCGCCCTCAAGGGAAGCGCAAAGCTCGTGGCCGAATTCGTCAGTCCATTCCCTTCCTTTGCCATGTTGTCATTGCCAAATGGCGGTTGCGCCGAGCTAACTCGTACCTACAGTTTCAATACTCGATACACACTATTCTGTACGAACCTTGATCCCTCTGGACATGCTGCGCCGATTCGAATACTGACATGTTCTCTCAAACAGCTTCCAACGAGGTGTCTACCCAGCAGAAGATTTCTCAGCGTACGTCTAGCATTGCCTTTCTTCCCCCTCCTACGACAGACAGAGACTGACCACACATCCTCTACAGCGTCAAGAAATACGGTCTCAACATGCTAGGTTCGCCTTCCTCATCTCCCATCCCGCCGACACAGCCTTCGCACTATTTCGCCAACTCTCACATCTAGCAAAGATTCCCCACAAGCTAACACCGTATTCTCCCCCTCCAGTCTCCTCCGACGACCAAGTCCGAGCCTACATCAAAAAGATCATGTCCCAACTAGACCGCTGGATGCTCCGCGGCAAAATCTCCAAGCTCGTCATCGTAATCACAGACAAGGACACGGGCGAACACGTAGAACGCTGGCAATTCGACGTCGAAATCTTTGGCCGCCCCTCAAAGTCCAAATCCTCAAAGACCTCTTCGTCCTCCAAATCATCCTCCTCCAAACCCGCAGACCAAGAAAACGCATCCCCCGCCACAGCAGAGGACGCGGCCCCCGAAAAGACGGAACAAGAAATCCAATCCGAAATCGCCGCCATCTTCCGCCAGATCACCGCCTCCGTCACGTTCCTCCCCCAGCTCAACGGAGACTGCACGTTCAACGTCCTCGTGTACGCCGACGCCGACTCCGAGGTGCCCGTCGAGTGGGGCGACAGCGACGCCAAGGAGATTGTCAATGGCGAGCGCGTCCAGCTGCGTGGGTTCAGCACCAGCAATCACCGTGTTGACACCCTCGTCAGCTATCGCTTGGCGGAGTAGAATTCGGCAAGTCTCGTGTGGGCGGGTTTGCTGTATGATGCGAGGTTACGGCTTGTCGGCGGACGAGAAAAGGTTTATAGGCCAAGTGGGAAGAGAACACAGCATGGAAATCTGTGTGTATGTAATATGATGTGTGTGCGGCGTCACGGCGTTTGGGTAGTGTTCTGTGGTACGATGACCACTCACGGAAGAAAGACAGGCAAATTTCAGTCTCTGGAAAAAGTTCATTTTCACAATGGATGGCTAATAACTAGCCTCAAATCTCCCTTTTTCTACACCACTCACTATGCATTCCGTGTCTCGTCTCTCATCTCCACAGTAAACCACCGCCTGCCCATGCTGTAATGCAATCATCCCCGTCTTATCAGATGCATCCGTGGCCCGGTCTCACCGCCACCGTCATGAAGTTGCGCAGGACTGATTGAGCCTGGCTTGATGTTGTTTTCGTCGTCACACCTCTCCCAAACCGAAACGCCATTCTTGTTACGCCCCGAAATCCACCTAAACACGCTTGAAGAAGTAGACGTAGGCAAACTTTCTCATCTCTTCAATCTCGCCTGCCTCGACAACCTTTTCATCATTGAAGAGGACCCAAGTGGGCTGGCTGTTGACTTCCTTCCGAACGAAGGCGACATAATGACTAATGGAAAATATTAGCAAACTTTGAAAGTTCAGTCTTCAAGGTATAACCCTTCGTCAACATACCCGGCATGGATGCTTGTGCCCTTGTGGCAGGCGATAGACTGCAGCTGGTACTTTGCAGGGGTAGCGGCGCTGCCGGCGTCCGCTTTGGGAGCAGCGGGATCGGCTCCGGCGGCTGGGGCTTCGTCTTCAAAGATGCCCTGGTCCTCTGGATGGCTAAAGAGCCACTCAACAGCTCGCTCCACGTCACCGTTGGTCTCGCGCAGAGCCTTCTTTGCTTGAGGCACCGAGAAGCCCATGGCGCCGAGCATCTCAATCTTTTCCGGATCCGCAGATGCTCCTCCGGCTCCCCCAGCACCGCCACCACCACTCAGAACGAGCGGATCGTCAATGTCGGGGTCCTCCATGTGGCCAAACAGCCACTCCATGGCAGCGTTGGCGTCCGAGTTGCCAGTGGCATGCAATGCCCGCTCGCAGCGATTGCGTCCGAAGCCCATGGCCTCCAGCTGGCTGACAGCCTCCGGGTTGGCAACGAAGGCCGGGGCGCTGGCCTCGGGCTCATCGGGAAGGGTCTCTTCGGAGGACTGCAGACCCTTGGAAAGATAGTCGTCGAGGAGGAAGGGCTCATCGGGGACAATGACGGGGACGTCAAGTTTGACAGGGACCCAGTTGATGACTGCCATCTTGCGGGCGTTGACAACCAGATTCTCGGGAAGGGTCTTGAACAAGGAGCGCTTAGTGTAGCCATCCTTGCTGCCACATGAAGAGCATGTCAGCTCAACAACCTCCTCGGCCGTGAAGTTATCGAGACACTGCTTGAGAGTTACGGCCTTGTAGGCGTCTGCCTTGGTCCCCTCGCCCTCGACAGTGGGTTCCTTCTCCAGAGGAACGTCTATGAAGATGTTGTCCTGCTCATTAGTCGAATATCGCACCTTCTTGCATCCCAGGCACTGCAGCCGCTGCTCTAGAGTGAACCGGAACGGCTGGGTCGGGTCGCCGAGATCGGAGGGATGCTGGGACCGAGTGACGAGCTTGAAGATGTGCTGCAGCAACTCGAAAGCATCCTGCTGCCGCATAGTCGAGAACTCTTCGTGGCCTCTTCCAATCAAGTGCTTCAACATGGCCGGGGCCAACCCCTTTTGGTGCGAAATCTCGGGCGAGTGCTCAGATGCAGTCACGTCTGAGTCGGGCTTAGAATACCGACCCGAGAGCAAGCCGTCCGCAACCTTGCGGAGCTGGGTTTCCAAGTCCGCCGCAGGATCCTGGACAGTAGGCAGGTCGCGACTGGGCAAGTAGTAGCGATTCTTGAAAGCAGGAGTGTCAAAGAGACACTGGACGATGCTGGCAAGATAACAGCTGTTGCCAAGGTTCTTGAGGCCGGTCAATCCAGCGCCAAACAGAGGCTTAAGCTCCTTGCCGTCTTCCGTGGTCATGCTAAAGTCCCAGCGCAGGTTCTGCTCAATCTGCATCTCGGTCAAGCTCTTTTCCGTCTTTTGCTGGTTCGCCAGGTTGATGCCCCAGTGTCCCAGGTGCTGGCCAAGATCGCCGTCGATGCGCTCTTCGTCGCACTTGTAGCAGTAAACGTCGGCCGTTCCCTCGGGTGTGATGGACCCAAGCTTGACGGCGACGCCATGGCCGGACTGATCCGAATGCGCGAGGGCGTGAGAGTTACCGTCGACACCTCCCATTTGCTTCCTTCCGCAGCCCAGGTTTCCACACTCCAAGCAGAGCCACAGGTTCTCGTGCAGATCACAGGCGGAGCAGTGTCCGAGATCACCAGACTGAATGGTTCTTGACTCGGTCTGTTGCATGAGCAGGATGTGCTCGCAGCTCGTAAGCTCCTGCTCCCACGCCTTGACCTCCTCTTTCCTCGAGAAGGTGTTGGCCTTCATGATGCCGTCCACAATGGGGGCAAGCTTGTCGCTCGTCTTGTCCAGCTCCTGGTTGCACTCAAGGCACTTGACAGTGGTTGTAGTATCGTATCGGTCGGCCTCGGTCTCGGCGGCGATGGCGAGCTTGGACATCTTCAAGGGGGGTTCATCTCGGACAAGGACTTTGCGGGTGCGGCGAATGTTGAGAACGAGCGGGTGGCTCCAGAGCTGTCGGTGGAGCTGAGCATGGTTGCGGTCACCGGCACAACCGCCGTTGAAGCACTGGAGGCAAACATCGACACCGGCAGGATCGTCCTGGGCAAAAGGATCAGCAAGAAGCAGAAGCAGGCGGGTCATGGACGAGGCGCACGATGGAATCGAAGCACTGGGTGCAGTCTTCCCGGTAGACGGAGTTGTGAGGTGCAGGCGGCTGGAGGGCTGGGAGAGGTGTGGTCAGTGTCATAGTATTGGACAGAGCTAAGATGAGGATAGACTAGAAAATAATTACCTGCAGCTATGGACTCAAGATGCGGGCACGCCATGGTGGGAGCGATCCTAGAAGGCTTCCAGGTCGAGGCTGTCGTCTCTGAGGTAAGGTAGGGTATCTTGTGTGGGGTTGACGGCGAATCCAGAGTTGTGTGAAGAGTTGGGAAAAAGTCGCAGACAATAAGATGGTTTTGAGTCTGAGGTGAGTTGTGTTCAGCCTCGCAGTTGAGACCAGAGACAAAACAGGCAGCCAACGGGATGCGACAGCCGAGAGCTAAGCAACGAGGTGAAAGGCTGAGATGTGCTCGTGCTCAGGCTGATGCAGGCGAGGACGGTGGCAGTGGTGGTGGTGGTGGTGTTGGACTGAGTGCCCCGCGTTGGAGTTACAGGGACCTGGTGCCTGAACTTACTTTGGCAGCTTCCCTGAGGTGACAGTGGTAGGTGGCATTAGCTCAGCTTTGGAGGGGGGCACAGTGTGGCGTGCACCTCAGATTTTGAGGATTACGTAGTAGAGTGGGGAAGCTTGAGGAAAGCATAGATGGATTAAATGCACTTTTAGGCTTATGTGAATGTCCGTGGTGGGAAGTCATCATAGATGCATATCGGAGCTATATAAGGTGCGGATTGCAGGTAAGCGGCTTCCCCGGACTTAGGCTTCCATTGGAAGCGGACATGTACAAATGCGTCAAACCTACGGAGTACGTACCTGACCTGAGGTGCCTTGGGCGGAGTACGTTCCAGCGAGCACGGAGGTAGCTTGCGTATCTAATCAGATTGAATCTCTTTCGCTGGCGAGAACGGCGAAGAACCATGACAAATTGTTGCCGCCCCGTCAGGCCCCGTCAAAAGATCCCCCAGTCATCCCCACTTGGAGCACCCAGAGCTGTCAGGTTGATGGATTCTCACTTTGCCAGCTGGTCACCTGCACCTGATAGCTTACTTAAGTATGTACCTTAAGTACTCCGTACTGTGGATCCGATAAGGCAAGGTCAACGACATGGACGGCAAGAGGACGGGACCAAAGTCACCAAAGTCCTGGGTGCGGTGCGTTCTTGCTGGGCCGAGGAAACAACGGCATCATCCCGGCCAATCAGATGCTTCCCATGCTTCAGAGAGTGGATCAGATAACGGGCAGGTCTGCAGCTCTGACATCCTGACACGCTGAAAAAGAGACACACTAAAGAAGGGAGGGAACCTTGAAGCGGATTAGTGTACACTAATGGCTGGGGGACCCTCGGCGCTGTGGAGGCGGATGAAAAAATGTCTTCTCCGAGGCGCCGAGCCATCCACCCTGAAGCCGTCACCCCCGTCCACTACTGACTGCTGGCTGCTGCGACTGCTGTGACTGTATGCTAAAGCCCAAGATGGCATAGGCAGTGTACGGGCCTGGGGACCAGTGGCCGACCACTGTCCATGACTTAATGCATGGTCATTGAACGCTCCCATTGGCCCGTCGGCTTCTGCTACCCCCGAGATCGCCATCGTTCTCCGTCACAAGTCCCGCAGGCCTTCTCTGCTACTCCGTAATAATTTCCATTTTCCATTTATCCTCTCAAAGAACTTCTCGCCTCCCTCCAAGTCTGCCCCCCTCAACACCTCGATCTCTTGCCAAACGCAATTTGCTATATCGACCAACTTTTGTCGCCATCGCCATCTCGACTCATCAACAATACCCTAAATCGACTCTTGCGACTACGCTCGTATCGATTTAATCTGCTCAACCTCCATATTCATCGACCTGCACCTCTTTGAAAAGCCACTAGTCCGAAACTCTTCCAAAATGTTCTCCAGATCTCTCCGCGTCGCCTCTCGCAGGGTCCTTGCGACCTCTGTCCGCCCTTCTGCCATGCCCGCTCGTCAGCTTGCACCTGCTGCCACTGTCGGCGCCACGAGGGGATACCACGAGAAGGTCCTTGACCAGTATGCTACCCCGGATATCTCCTTTCAAAGACACATAGGGCTAATCTTGACGTGTACAGCTACTCGCGCCCCCGTAACGTCGGCTCAATGCCCAAGGGCGACCAGGACGTCGGTCAGGGTCTCGTCGGTGCTCCTGCTTGCGGCGATGTCATGAAGTAAGCCATCCTACGATTCATCTTCTCAATATCACGATACCATTGTTTGGGCCGCCTGGGTTGTGGCAGCGGCGTGCACTTGGGTCTCCGACTCGATGCGCTACCTCACTCTCCACGCTCTTCAACTCGACGCACTGAATCCGGCTTTTCGCGACACCAATATTTATGGCTTTTCTGCCATTATGTTACAATCGCTGACACATTCAACAGGCTCAACATCCGTGTCGACCCCAAGACCAATGTCATCTCCGATGTTAAGTTCAAGACCTTCGGCTGCGGATCCGCCATCGCTTCCTCCAGCTACCTTACCGAGCTTGTCCGGGGCATGACGTGAGTGACCTCGCCCCAGATATACCTTTCGCACCGATGCTGACCTACAGCACAGCTTGGAGCAGGCCGGCCGCGTCAAGAACACCGAGATTGCCCAGGAGCTCAAGCTTCCCCCCGTCAAGGTATGTGACCAAGAAAGCCTCTTCTCTTCTTGTGTCGCCGTAACTAACGCAACGTAGCTCCACTGCAGCATGCTTGCCGAGGACGCCATCAAGGCCGCCATTTCCGACTACTACACCAAGAACCCCAACGCGAAGCCCACCAACCTGGCCGGCACCGAGGCCAAGGCCGAGTCCGCCGCCTCCGCTTCCGCATAAACAACACATCTCCGTGATACCTTTCTTTCGTCACACGTCATTGGAGTTCGGTCAGGGGAGTGAAGAGGAGACGTCCCCGGGTGGAGGCCTAGAGGGCAGGGCAGGGCTGGGCAGACTTTGCCAACAAAACGAGATTTATCGCCGTCTTGTTCATCGACTTTTTTCAACAAAATCCGGAGTTTGGGAAGGAAATTATGGCTGTCTTTTATTTCGCAGAGCTTGTATGGGATGAGAGCTCCTCTACAGCGACGGCAGTCGCTACACGAAGCATCGACGCTGCCGCGAAACAGGCCTTTTTCATGTCTACCAAGAGGCTTTCAAGGGCAGGGTTGATTGTACGTCAGTGTTGAGAATACCATTTAGTTAGTGGCCAGCTTATCAGCGAGTCGACAGAGACGAAAATGCCAGAGAACGACATTGTCCTGCCACTCATGCACCACTCAATGCTTCAATTCAAACCGTTCCACAATAAGTTCGCTTTCTGCACGGGGCATCGTGAGCGCCAACGGTGTGACTGAGTCTTCGAATTGCGCAGCTCTCAGAATGAGGGAGCGGGGCTGGGTGCTGACCTCGGGATTGCATCCGCAAGGATCAAACCTAGCTGTTATTGTGCGGACAACATCGATAGCCAACAAACAACATCCGTGACCGCATTGTCTTCATTCGCGAGAAGAGGGGCTATTGATCAGAGCAGGTCTTGGCCCTCACTCTCGTGGCACTTGATTCTCCCATACTGGTGGCGAGTGGAAAATGCTGAGTCACTTAACCCCCCGGAACCGGCTGACGGTATGTGAGCCGAAGACCGGCTTTAGACCCGACCCATCGGGCTTCGGCATGTCCTCGGAGACTTCTCGTCGTGATATCAATTGACGACAGGCGTCTGGAAGTCTAGGCTCCGGCAACTCATGCGATGCACCGCCTCCGCTCCCCCAGTTGTTAACGAGGTGTATTGGTGACTGAGCAAGTCGGCGACTTCAAGGATGACTAATTGCGCCGCAAGCTAACTGTGACGAATCCCAAGTCCGCCAAATCCTCCTCTACGACGGAATCCTCTGCAAGTCATGATGGTTGGGAAATGAGCAAATGACGGCGGACTTTGGGATGCTGGAGCGTCTAAGGCTTGGCGGAGTTGAGATTCGAACCGTGGAGATGGCACATTGGCGATGGCTTCATAAACAACATGAGAGCCGTGGGTCGTTCACGCGGAGTAATGATGATAGACAAGAAAGATTACTCGGAAGCAATTCAAACATTATCATCCTAATATCGACCCAACATGCCTCTATTCCAGCCTCCAGTCACACCCCTCCCCGACGGCATTAACCTCGCCGGCCAGACAGCGATAGTAACAGGCGCAACATCAGGCATCGGCCTCGCACTAGCCCGCCAACTCCTCTCCCTCGGCGCATCCCCCGTCGTCCTCGCCGTCCGCGACGTGCCCAAGGGCGAAGCAGTACGACAAACACTCCTCTCCGACCCAACCGTCCTCTCCCGCCACCAGAACCCCGTCGTGGAGGTGATGAAGCTCGACGCAGAAGACTACGCCAGCGTCAAGACTTTCACGGAAACATTCAAGGCGAAGTACACGCATCTCCACATCGCAATGCTCAACGCCGGCGTGCCGGGTCTACGACGCCGCGTGGCGCCCACGGGCCACGAAGCGACCGTACAGGTGAATTATCTCTCCAACGTGCTGCTTACACTCGAGTTACTCCCCGTGTTGGAGGCTACGGCGCGCGAGACGGGGAGGGCTGGAAGGATTGCTTGGACAGGGAGCCGGATGGTTGAGAAGACGAGTCTGGCGGGGAAGACGACGGTTCCAGAGGGGGGATCTCTTCTCGGGCACCTTGATGATGAGGCGAATTTCGTTGGTATGGCGCGGTATGCGGATAGTAAGCTGCTCGGATTCCTGTTTCTGCGGGAGCTAGCGAGGCATTATGGTGCTGGTGCTGCTGAAGAAGAAGGGAAACGGCAGCAGCAGCGGGTTATTGTCAACGCCTTTTGTCCCGGGATGGTGGATACGAATATGAGCAACGTTCTCCCCCAGCCGTTCCGCCTCATCGCTGACGCCGTGAAGGCTGTGAGGGCGAGGAGGCCGGAGGTGGCTGGGTGGGTTGGGCTTCATGCTGTTGCTGTCGCGGGCGGAGAGACGCATGGAAAGACGTTGGGGGATAAAGAGATTTGGGAGTGAGTTTTCTTTCTTTGCGATTTGCTGTGGTTTAACTGACAGTGATGTGTAGACCAGAGGGCTTCGCTGTTTCGGATGAGAGTTGGAGGTTGCAGAGGATGTTGTGGGATGAGACTGTTGATGAGATGAAGAGGTTGACGAGTGTTCCTGAGTGGATGGGCAAGGTTGGGAATTGAGTGCATGTCGTTTAAGCTGGCTGTTGCTATGAGTTGTGTCATGAGAGCGTAGGACCATTGTGAAGCGTCATGAATAGCATAGTCTTGGATGTAGGAGTATAGGCTGTTATTTCTTAGACATCTCGATGTACGTTGCTTTGAGATCTGTGTTTCATATACTTCGAGACTCTGTGCGTGTTTCTGGAAACAAATCTCCCACGCTCTGATCAAGGTGGTGAGATAAGTCTTGCGTGCTTGGTATATAGAAACGATAGTGTACACCTCATGTTCAAATCATCATGAACGCCAAGTCAACAATCACGGCCACTGCCATCACCGCGGATGGACAGGTGGCGGTGCTGGCGGCAACCCGCCCTGAGACTCCGTCATGTAACTATGCGAACCCCCATCACTATCCTCCTCTGAAGAATCCGACCCGTCACGTACGCCCGCGAAATGAAGAAACAGGATCCGGACCAGGAAGCCGGCACTGACAAGCAAAGGCAGGACCTGCGCCACATCCGCAACGTTGTTCACGTCGGAGATGTGATTCCAGACGACGGCCAGCTCGACGGCTGCGGTAAGTGTTGCGGCGACGGCGATGTTGCTCAGCGTCTTCAACTCCTTGATCGCCATGATGTGCATTCTCCTAGGCACAAAACATTGTCAGTCCCAAACCTCTTTCATCTTTGGGCAGGGGTGGTCACTCACTTGACTCTCCGCTTCTTCCGCCTCTCCCTCCAAAAGGGCACTTTCCAACCGACCTTGAGCAGGAGGACGAGCAAACACACAAACAGAATGACAAAGTACATGATGGCATTAAACGCCACAAACGCCTTATTGCCCAAACTCACGCGGCTGAAGAAGAACCCATACTGCTCCCGCGAACAATCGTTCTCCGGCACAAAAGAACACCAATACCACACGCCCAGCGACGAAATAGCCAGCAACAAAGCAAAGTTAAGCCCCTTGTAAGCTGGGCTCGGCGTCTCCTTGGACCAGCGGAATGGATCCCAGTACCTATTGAAGCACGTCACCGCCTTCCAGAGGTAGAGCGGGACGAGGGGGATGTAGATGCCCATGGCGAGCAAGAGGACAATGTAGACGTCGGCCGGCTGTACGCTCCTCGCCGCGACAGAGAGCCGTATGACGAGGCCGAGGAAGGCTGCGGCGGAGAAGAGGAGACCTATGAGGCGTATGTCGGGGAGGTCTGCCATGTCGAGGTACTCTATCACGATGGCGCCGAACCATTGGATGTAGAAGGCGACGCGGATGCCCAGGCCGTAGAGGTCGGGCTGGCCCTGCACCTGGCAGCTTGCCATGGCTGGATGTGTAGCTGATATTGAGGGCGTGGAGGAAGAAAGGAGCGGGAGCAGGGAGGTGGCCCCTCTGTCGAGGTACGCCATCTTCCCATACCTTTTATGCTTCTGTCTCTCTCGCCTCTCTTCTCCCGCTCTGCATCTTGCCGACATCCTCTTCTACAAGAAGACCGCATTGCCAGCGTAGACATGCAACGTGGGCAGCTATCAAGAAAGGTAGTTACAAGGGTCAACGCCGCAGTCAGCTGTGTGTGACGGAGCAAATCGCCAACGGCTGGACCCTGGGCGGACTGCCTCTTGCAGTATGATGTGCTCTCCCGCCCCCCTCGTCCCCTCGTTACCCCCGTCTCCCGCGGTGTGGTTGATACTCGACCGCCATGCCCCCATGTGGCACCACGATGAACCCCATTGGGAGGGGAACGGGATGTTGCAGGGTTGAACGACAGATCTGTACGTAGTTCTGCTCGCTAGCTGGCTGCAGAAATGCCTCGAAGAAAAGAAGCAGAAGATGCTTAGCTCCCGTTTTTGCAGGGTTGGGCCGTCTTGCTGACGCCAAGCGTAGGTTATTGGTTGGTTGTGTTTGGCCGCGATGCCCGCGGCCGGAACCCGACCTTTTTGTGGCCCGCTGGTGTGTACTCCTACGTGCCATCTATCAACGTCGCGCTGTTGGGCCTCACTTGCTTCTTCTCCTGGGATACTCCCGACGCCGTAGGCTATTGTATCCACATTCAAGACTTCTTGAGGATAGCTCTATCCGTTGGTTTTTTAAACTTTGTCTCGTTCACTTGAACGAGAGACGAGAGTGACGAAAGTACCTCATTTGATCCAAATGAGTGCTGTAAGCTGATTGAGCCTAGCCGTCACTGTGTGTTCCTTAGCCAGGGGCATCATGCAGCCGTTCGCATTAGCAATTTGCCGCATGTGAAGGAACGTCTGAAGGAATGCTTTGCAGACCGAGAGGCTCAGGCAACAGCATTTCCGTCTTTGAGCGAGGACAACAGGTGGCATCTGAGGTGGGCGAGCGTGAGGGGAAGCTGTTGAGTGAAGCGGACGTGTAAGGCGGGGGACGGTGGAGCCATCCTGGACTGTGAAGGGCCGGAGTGGGTCATGGGCCTCCGATTCTGGAAGTGGGCCAGCGGGGACTACTGGCCGAGATCGGCTTAGCGCAGGGTCCTCCGCTTATCTGATACTCAGTGTCTTATCGCGTTATCGCGTCGCATGGCAGGACCGTTATCAGCCTATCGATAAACAAAATTCTTTTTTTTTTTCCCTTCTTCCCGCCCTTTGAGATTTGCGACCTGACCGAAAACCCCCCCAAGAGTCTTTGCTTCTCACGGCAAATTTCCCTCCAAATCAATTGTTGCGTCAATCCCCGTTCCAACCACCGCAACAATGGCCGCCACGAAGCGCTCTCTCGCCGACACCGAGGCCGAGGCCAGTGTCACCAGCAAGAAGCAGAAGAAGGACCTCGCTGCGGGTGGCGACGTCGACAGCGATGAGGCGGCAGAGCTGAAGAAGCAGAGGAAGAAGGAGAAGAAGGAGAAGAAGGAGCGCAAGAAGGAGAAGAAGGCCAAGGCTGCTGAGGTCGAGGAGGAGGAGGAGGCTCCGGCCGCTGCCACTGAGTCCAAGGAGGAGACCGAGGAGGACAAGGCCGAGAGGAAGAGACTCAAGAAGGAGAAGAAGGAGAAGAAGAGGAAAGAGAAGGAGGCCAAGGAGGCCGAGAGCAACGGCACATCCGCAGCTCCCGCCGCCGCCGCTGCCGCCACCGCTTCCACTCCCACCGCCTCCATCCTCGGTGGCTACGAGGAGGTTGCGGCGCTCAAGGCCCTGCCCCAATCGGACCTCAACACCTTCCTGGCCGCCGAGAACATCACCGTCACTGACCCGATAACAAGCAACGCCGCCCTCCGCTCCATCCTCGAGTTCGCCCACCTCCCCAAGACCGACCTCGTCAAGAAGAACCCCTTTTCCGCCTACAAGAAGCCCACGCCGATCCAGTCCGCCTCATGGCCCTACACCCTCTCCCGCCGGGACGTCATCGGCGTCGCCGAGACGGGCTCCGGAAAGACCATGGCCTTCGCCCTGCCGCTCGTCGAGGGCATCTCCAAGATCAAGAAGCGCGGCATCAAGGCCGTCGTCGTCTCCCCGACCCGCGAGCTGGCCATGCAGACCCAGGAGCAGATGGAGCACGTGTCCAGCCTGCTCGGCCTCAAGAGCATCTGCATCTACGGCGGCGCCTCCAAGGACGAGCAGCGCAACCTCCTCAACCGCGGCGCCGACGTCATCGTCGCCACCCCCGGCCGCCTCAAGGATTTCATGCAGGACGGCACCATCTCCCTCGGCCAGGTGAAATTCGCCGTCCTCGACGAGGCCGACCGCATGCTGGACAAGGGATTCGAGGAGGACATTAAGCTCATCCTCGGCGACATGCCGCCGCGCGAGCAGCGCCAGACGGTCATGTTCACCGCCACCTGGCCCGCGTCGGTGCGCAAGCTCGCCGAGTCCTTCATGGTCGACCCCGTCAAGATCACCATCGGCTCGAGCGGTAAGGAGACGGCCAACGGCGCCGTCGAGCTGCAGGCCAACACGCGCATCACGCAGCGCGTCGAGGTCGTCGACCCGCGCGCCAAGGAGCAAAGGCTGCTGCAGATCCTGAAGCAGTGGCAGACGGGCGCCAAGAAGGATGACCGTATCCTGGTGTTCTGCCTGTACAAGAAGGAGGCCACGCGCGTCGAGACCTTTTTGCAGCAGCGCGGCATCCGCGTCGGTGGTATCCACGGCGATCTGCGCCAGGAGCAGCGCACGAGGAGTCTGGAGGCTTTCAAGGCTGGTACCACGCCTGTGCTGGTCGCTACTGATGTTGCTGCCCGTGGCTTGGATATTCCCGAGGTCAAGCTGGTTGTCAACGTGACTGTGAGTCTTTTTGTGTTTTTGAACGTCTATCGAGCACCTCAAAACTAACTTTTTGGCAGTTCCCCTTGACGATTGAGGATTACGTTCACAGAATTGGACGTACCGGCCGTGCTGGCAAGACTGGCGAGGCCATTACCCTGTTTACCGAGCACGACAAGGCGCACTCTGGATCGTGAGTCACCCTGCGTCCTGGAAATACCTCAGTTTGGACATGGTTGCTAACAAAGTTGACTAGTTTGATCAACATCCTCAAGGGTGCCAAGCAGGAGGTCCCCGATGACCTCTTCAAGTTCGGCACGACCGTCAAGAAGAAGGCTCACAGCACCTACGGCGCCTTTTTCAAGGACGTCGATATGACGAAGAAGGCGACCAAGATCACGTTTGACTGATTTGTTACTATTTTTTGATTTTTTTTGGCTTCTCGGGAGGATTTCTACATGTTCCATTTACGCCTCGAGGTAATTACGCCTACGCTGCTTTCGGCTTGCGTGCCGAGTTGTAACATTGCAGGAGGAACCTGCGTTCGGCAAAGAGTCTGATGTCATGTTAGATGGGGAAAAGCACACACATACGCACACAATAGGCCACAGCGGCGCGAATCACATGGGGCGGGGAAAAGCTTACATCAAAAGTACGACGGGAACGGCGGCTAGACCGATGGCGATGATGTCCTTGAACGGGGAAGTAGACACGCCCGCCGAGGCAAGACCGGCGACCCTCCTGATGAGGTGCGGCGCCGATAGACAGACGATAGAGGTGACGGCGTTAGGCCGCAGCGAAAAGAGTTCAAACGGCGTTTCCAACCCTGCAAAGTACGATTTGGTGAAGGCGAGGCTCCACACGATGCGGCACAGCATGTTGATGCAGTTTGCGTAGACGAGGCCCTGGGCGCCGAGGTCCATGACGCGCATGAAAAAGAAGGCGGCCGAGCCAAAGGCGACGGAGAAGACGCCCATCCAGGCGGACTGGCGGTGGACCTGGGCCTCGGAAGCGACGGAGGCGACAAAGGACTCGGATACGCCGTTGAGTGCGAGGAGGGGCAGGTAGTAGCAGTAGACGGCCAGGACGTCGCCTGCGCCCTCGGAGGCCCAGCGTTGGCCTGCTACGAGTGAGAGAAGCGGAGGCGCGGCGACGGGGCCGATGCTCACGATGATTGAGGAGAGGAGGATGTAGAATTTGAGGAGAGTGTGAAGATGCTGGCTTGCCGTGGTTGTCGCTGCTGTGTCCTTGGCGGCCGGTGACGATTTGGTCTTTGTGTCATGAGAGGAGAGCAGACGGCTGAAGTAGCTGCGGCTGCTCTCCTCAATGGGCTGGAGGACGAGACGGGCCAGGAGGCCTCCGTAGTTGCTGGCCAGCGCGTAGACGCCCTGCGATTTGGGGGTGGACAGAACCGAGACGAGAAAGGTGTCGCCTTGCGTGAGAATGTGCTTGACGAGGCTCTGGGCTGTCATGCTGGAGGCTAGACTGACGGTGGGACGGTAAAAGTAGGAGGCGAGGTAGTCCTCTCGTCCGCCACTCGATGTGGAAGCGAGGCTCTTTGGAAGGAGAGAGAAGCCATCTGCACGGGCGAGGCGAGATGCGGACGAGAGATAGACTACCAGCAGAGTTGCGCCATAGAAGAGCTGACCGACGGCGAATGGGAGCACGCCGAACTCGACGCCAGCCCTAGAGGCCCAAAAGGCGGTAGCAAAGGTAACGGTGCACCGGAGGAAAGTCGCGATGGACTCGGCCGTGGCGCGGGTGCCGAATCGAAGGCGAGTCTGCATAAGAACGAAGCAAGGTTCCGAGAGAAGTTCAAGGATAGCGGCCAGGGCGTAGAGGCGGAGGGCGAGGAGGAAGTTTGGCGTCTGGGCGGTGGACGAGTCGACGGAGGAGAGGTACAACCATCCGAGGCCGATGGTGACAAAAAAGCCTAGAAGGACGGCGAGGTAGCCCAAGTTGATGACAGCCTGGCTTTCTCGACCTATACGAGCTCTTGGGTCGTCATCTTTTTTGTTGTTGGAGGAATGACGTGTGGCATTGCCTTGGGTTTCCTGGCGCTGGACGGCAACGCGAAGGGATTCTCGGGCGAAGAAGAGCACCGAAAGGTAGTAGACCTCTAGTTGTGTCGAGACGCCGAGAAGGCGGGCCGTCAAGAAGCGGAGGAGAAGCTGGTTTGCAATAAAGGTGACTGCGCGGGAGCCGATTTGGAGGATGATGAGGAGGGAGGCGCCGCGGACGACAGTTTTGCTGGCGTCCGTGTTGGTGTGTACCGGAGCAGACACGGACGCAGGTTCTTTTGAATGTGCCATTGTTGCGTCATTCGGTGAATGAGTGGATTGGAGTAGAAGATGACCGTACCGTAAGGTTGTCCCCGTGGGTATATCGGGATGTGACCTCGAACCGGGATGCGTTGCGGTGCGGTGCGGTAGACGGGAGGTTGAGGCAACGGTGGTTTTTGGAGCTCGGCGTTCCTGAGTTGACGTCTGTGGTGAGCCGAAAGTGGTGTGCGGGTGGAGTCGGTGTACCGGGCCGGTGGGGGACCCACAGCGGCGTCAGGTACGCTGCCGGACCACCTCAGGCAGGCACCTCGCAGGCTACCTACAGTGGAGGTAAGGTACCTAAGGTACTTCAAGGTCCAGTGCAGGTACCCGGCACAGGCAGGCGAACCGCCCGTCTGGGAACCAACTCCGAAAGTCATGGTAGACGATGGTCCGATGGATCACGATGCATTCTACCCATGGTCATCTTATCATTCTCTTAATGTCGAATTCAATAGCACGATGCTTATGTGTGATCTGCTATAGACTCACTTGTGGGTTTACTACCAAATATACCGGAGTTGTTATCTCGTCCTCGTGTGCATATTATAGCTATCCCGGTTGATAGACCAGTTATGGGCCTGCAAGGATTTGAAGTAAATCAACCTTGAGGTGGTGTTCAAGGAACATTTTGCTGGAATTGGTAGCGAAAGGTCAAAATCGAAAAACTCTTGGTATATCCCTCCATATTTATGTCGAAAAAGTTTGAGATTGCCATGTTTCCTTGTTGTGAAATAACGCGGTCTCGCGTCAGTTTACACGTCTCGACTCAGGAATGAAGGTTGTTCGCGGGGGCATCCCGATTCGAGCAAATGCCGATCAACTTCATGTGCGGCGCCACACAAGGACAGCCCTTTCCAGATCGTGCCGGCCTGTAAACGTGCCATCCACATGCTAGCTAGTCCACGAAGTACCTTGAGTGATTATCTGCTCGAGTCGTTTTAAAAGACGGTTAGGAAGATATTGTGGTGGCTGGTGGTGTGTTGATGCGCTGGCCGTCAAGATGCGGCCGGTTTCTTTGGTCACAGGACCTGAGATGACTGGCCAATTCACCACCTTCAGTGCTTCTACTTCCCAGCTTGCTTGCAAGCAGAGGGTGAGGTCTGTCGTCATCGTGGCAGGGCCAGACATGTTTCATTCGCTGCGAGTGAATGTCTCTGTGACGGCTGGCCTTGACATCTCCCCACGCTCCCCTCACCTAGGTAAGGTGCCAAGGTAAGGCAAGGTGAGGTAAGGTACCAGGTAATTGGAGGGAAAGTCTCAAGACGCAGGGCACGTACCGAGAGTACTTGAGGTGGCACGTGCCTGGATGAGGTACCTTGTGCGGGTGGAGCATCGGTCTAGGTACCTCCGTACCGTGGTCCTTTGGTGAAGTGTTCCTGGATTGGCGGGTATCAAGTGGAGCACTGAGGATGCGCTACCGCAGATTGGGCCAGATTGGGCAAGCACGGCAAGAAGTGCGACCTGCAATGGTTGCACCTGTGGTTTTTGGCTTGACGCGAACGTTTCCTGTCCGTCTTTTTTTGGCCAAAGGAAAGGTACATGAAAGCACCTTCAGATTGCATACGATCTCTCAAAGAAACTGTCTCGATTCAGGTATCTCACCTTTCCCATTCTCTTTCTTTGGTTGGTGCTCTCACCACCTCTTTTTCTCCGGTTCAGGCGCGGCACCGCATCCTTGACCTTTTCTCATCCCCTCCACTCCCCTCCAAGTTCCAACCCTCCTACTGTGTATTCGTCCCAACTCCCATCCGACCTGGAATAATCATCCCTACGCCGTCATCTTGTCTCTCCCTTCTTTGGTCTCTACTCAGTATTCGTCAGGCACGTCTTTGCTCGAGCCAGACTTGCGAATAGATGCCTTTCATCTTCCTAATAGCTCCCTCCTTCCTACGGCATACAACGAACCCAACCCTCCATCGTCGTCCTCTTGACGATTTTTTTTTTCTTCCAATTTTTTATATGAGCCCAATCTCGGCTCGGACCACATGCTCTCAAAAGAAACTGCAGACTACCCCCGCTGGTCTGGGTTGTCCCCTGTCATCTTGCGCTGCTGCAGACAGTTCACCACGACCAGGGCCTGTCTTCTCCAGTGAAGAGGCACCAAGACACCACAGACACCCTTGTCGCCCCCGTCAGCAAGCTCAAAGAACCGGTCCAAGTCGCGCCTGGGCGTCCAGTCCATCGCGACAACAATCACACCTTGGGAAATACAGTCCCCTCCTCGCTGCAGGTGGCCTCCAAGAGCCCAATCGCGTCACCGGCCGCCAACTCAACGGCCATAATAATACCTATGTACGAATCGCACAACACAGAGTGCCAACAATACGCACCCACACACACACACAGAGTCACAACTCCAACATAAACCCGCCTTACCTGGCTCGCACAACTCACAAAAGAGAGACCCCTCCCACAGTCGTCTCTCGTGAATAGTCCCTTTACGGATAACCTCGTTCTCCCCGCTCTCGCTCAGCTCTCTGCCTGACTAGCTCGACCCAGACCGGCACCCCGAGCCCCGATCCCAACGTCCGTGCCTTCGCCTCTGGGCTCTCAGCATGCTGTCCGCTGTGGCGACGACTCTGCCGCAATAACGATGGCAGAACTCGGGACCCGTACACCACCGGAACCAGATGCAGACCCAGAACAAGACGACACAACAGACCTCGACCTGAACACCACGGCCTACCGATACACGGCAGACACCCACTTCACCGACGACTACACCGACACCGTCCGCAACACCGATGACGCCCGTCCTCGCGACGCCGATCCCATGGCAGACTTCGTCCAAACTTCCGCTCCCCGCCCGGACGAGGGGTCCAGAATGCGATGTTGCTGCGGTCGCAACGATTGTGCTTATTTGAAGCATAGCTGCTCCGTGCTCGAAACTGTCGAAAAGGATGTTCATACCGCCGCCAAGTTGGGCAAGGTGCGTCCTCGTTCTTCTTTTTCTAGCTTTTCCCTTCTCTCCCTCACCCGTCGAAACATTCCAGCCGTGCCGCTCCCCAAGCCCGTGCCAATCTCTCGAGACATTCCAACACCTCATTTCCCGTGATTAACTTCAAGATGGGGAGTCCCGGCACCGTTCCAGCCCGCAAACTCTGCGTTCGCTACCAAACCTGCGAATCGTCCCAAATGCACCGTCGTCTTCTCTCGCTGCACATGTCGCCATGTCGCTGACCTTCCCTCTCCAGGCCTTACTTGCTCGTCATGAGGCGTACATGGCCGATGCCGAACGAGATCGCATGTCCCTTACGAGCCGCATAGAGCAGTTGGAAAACGAAAAGGTGGAATTACAGGCCGAGAACGCGAGGACCGTCGAAGAGAACCGTACCCTACTAGATCAGCTCGAAATGCTCAACAACACGGTTCAGGATTCCGATATCCGCATCCAGACCCTTGAGGCTACCCTGCTGTCGTCTCACCAAGCAGTGCGGCGTCTCGAGGGCGCGGCAGCTCGTGCTGCGGAGATGGAGAGGCATATTGCGCTTCTCGAACAGGAGCAGTTGCGGCTGCAAAACACCTTAATTACGACCGAATCTGAGGCCCGCTCCGCCATGCAGCGGTGGAGAAAGGCCGAGAGAGGCATCTCTGACCTTCAGGAACAGCTGGAGCGCATGGAAAAGGAGGCCAAGGAAGAGCGTGAACGCCATGCCGAGGTTTTGGGCCGGGTGGAGCGCCAGCGTGAGATGGAAAAGGAACTGAACCTTGCCGCCGGACGCCTCAAGGGAGCTGCCGCCACCAAGTCGCTCACCAACGGGAAACCCGCCACCAACGTGGTATCTCACTTTGTCCGAGACTTGCTGCAGGACAATGCTAATCTGCAGCTGGGCATGGCCGAGTTACGGGAAATGCTTCTCAACTCAAACGACGAAATTCAGGCCATGAGGGACCAGCTCATGTGTCATCAACCCATCGGGGAGGAAGACGCCAGCGCTGCGTCGACCTTGCGTGCTGAAATCGGGCCGGAATTGAGCGAGACGATACAGCACAATATTTCCCAGCAAGTGCATATCCACCACCATTACCATGTTGCCGAAAAGAACAAGAAGAAGAAGCGTCACAGCCTGAACCCGGCAATCTTCTCTCCCGCCAGCGTCTCGCGATCGTCCACCCCTCCGCCGGCCGTGTGGCGACCCGGCCCCTCACCAGTGACCCCCAGGGCCTCGCATTCTCACACGGGATCAACGTCAACAGTTTCGATGCCGCCCTCAAATCGGTGGTCCGTCTTCTCAGAGCAACCCTCTGAATTCGCACCGTCGTCCGTCCCGAGTTCGCCTCAGTCAAATCCTCGTCTTTCCATGTTCGACCGCCCAATGCTGGAGACGGACATACCCATGTCTCCGACGACCAGCCTGGATCCTACGTCGCCTACATGGAAGGTCTCTCACCACAAGCGCCCTTCTGAGGTGTCAATTCGAAGTTTCTCTGTACCTCCAAAGTTCCTAAACTTGGGTTCGCCAGCGCCGCCAGCTGCCCCGACAGTACATGTCTCTCAGCCTATTTCGTCTACGATTGAGGAAGAAAGAGAGGATCACAGCGGTGAGGAAGTGCCCGGGTTACTCACTTCCAATGAGGACCACGGAGAGACAGAAACCGAGACCGAGACAGAAATCTCATTCTCCAAGGACGAAGATCTACCGCGGAGAGGTCTACACCGTGCCGTCTCCCACGAGTCAATCATGTCGCTGTCGGGAGGCTTGGACATTCACACACTCAAAGTACGACCGAGTCAATTGACCCTTCGCCCTCTGGGTGGGGCCGATGCTGTGTTCACCGGAGTCACGGCACGGTCAACGATATCGAGAGGAAGCGATCGACGGAGTGACGCCTTGCTTCGCGATAGTCTGGCAGGGCGACCGGTGTCGAGGATGGTTTCCACTCCGGTTCGAAGTGCTTCGCCAGCAAGCACCCATTCTCAAGGTTCGCAGAACTCTGGAGGAATAGGTCGATGGGTTAGCTGGAGGCCTTGGACTGGCGCGGCAGCAGGCCGAGCCACAACACCCACGCAGGCACCGCCTACACCGACACCGACACAACGCAGCGGGAAAGAGAAGCAGAAGGAAAAGGAATTCCTCAGACCGCCGGGCATCAATCAAGCCGGTGCTATTCCAGGGTTCCATGAATACCTGGCGGCGCATCAGCGTCGCGGTCCTCCGAGCAAAGTGTCGCCTGACCAGGTGGACGTCGACGCACTTCGAGAGGTGTTGGAAGAGTGAGGCTACGTGGCTCGGTATGAGCATGGTTTACTGCATTTCATGGATACGGGCGCTATCCTTTATTTCTTTTGTCGAATTTTCTTGGGTATACAAACAAACACAAGTGGCGTTCAGAGAACCTGGGCATAGTTGAGGATGGGAGCTGAAGATACCCTACTGCTTTACGCCGCGTCTGCATTCGCGTTTTTTTTTAGTTCATTTCTTTTGTTACACAAGCCGGGCAGCATGTCGAAATTGAGACGGACTGACGGACGACTAGGCGTTCTCACCAAAGGCGCCATATCATCTACACAGAGCTACAATCAGCAATACAGCATGATGCGTCGACCTAAATATAATTTCTATTCATCTTACCTGTCGTGGGCCGTGGTGTCTTGGTAATCATTCATAGTCTCGGTAGAGAATTCTTGGAGTCTATGGAGGTCTATTTGCAGCAAAACTCTTCGTCACAACTCCCTCTTCCTCATCATTCGTTCTCTTCGAAGCACCCTCTACACGAACTTCGCATGTCTTCTGAACATATATCCCCCCATCAAACTGTTCGCTCCTATGCCTGTTGTCCAACGGGATCGACTCAGCAACCATGACGGACCGAGACGTATTATTCGGGCCGTATCCGTTACTGGGCTCGCCTCTACAGTTGATGTACGACTTATTGCGGTTCGTCCTGCTCCCGTTATACTTTCTCATCCCACGCGTCAAGAGAGCCTTTAGTGGCGGCAGCGATCCCACGATAATGGCGGTGCCGAGCTCGGTGAGACTCCACACGGCCAGGCCCACCATGTCCACCGTCTCGCCCTTGAGCACCTGCGTCATGCGGACGATGGCTGTGAGGATCGTGATGAGGGCCAGGCAGAAGGCTACCGCAAGACCAAACTTTTTGCGAAAGTCGAGTTGAAGCGAGGGGAGAACGGCGATGGGTAGGCTCATGATGAGCAGGTCCGTAAAGACGTCGGCTGCTGTTGCGAAGAAGATGGCGAAGCGGTAATAGTAGACTTCCTTTGGGGAGAGGCATTTTCCTTGTCACAAGCATCAGATGCAAGAGACTGCTACCGCGAGTTTAGGAGTGAACATACCTGCCCGGAAGTAGTCGGATGGAGTATCACAAATGAGCGACCCCGAAAGCCATCCCCCAATATACGAAAGGAGACAAAACATGGCAATCCCATACCAGACCTTGCGTAGCCACGGGATGGGACTAACAAGCCTGAAAAACACATTCAAAAAACTCGCCTTCACCGCAAACAACCCCGTCCAAAAGAGATACGTGAGCGCATACGACCAGCGCAACCACTGCTCCAGCTGCAACTCCGCCTCCCTCTTGGACGCGGGGACGAACCTGCCCGCCTCGAGCTCAACGACGTACCACAGCGAGTCCATCTGCTGCATCTGGAGGATGGCCATGGTCAGGAGACACAGCCAGGCAAAGACCATCCAGACGTCGTCACGGAGGAGGTGCCGGTTCCGGCGCCAGCGGACGAGGAGGCGGAGGGAGAGGAAGATGTACGAGGTGGCTACATTGGCCCAGGTGTAGGCTGTCAGGGCAGGGCGGGAGACGTTGTGGGCGACGCCGAAGAGCGGTGCGTCGGGGTCGGCGGTCTGCAGTTGTGAGGACATTGTTGATGGGATGCAGGCTGATACCACCAGGTTCCCGACAATGGTACAGCCTGACGAGAGGGAGCTGGCAGTGTCTGAAAACGCCGCCATTCCCGGTCTGTTTCTGGGAGGGTAGGGGGGAGGAAAGAAAGAAAGAATAGAGAAGGGCAGAAACGCAGATCGAAGGGAGATTCAGGCTAACATTGTGTTACTGCTAGGGACATTTGGTGTTCCTATATGAAGACGAGCATTCGGCGATGGACGGACAAGGAACATGGACTTTCGCCGAACGCAAGGGATCGTTTTCACTTCCCTCCCCCTGTGAGTTGTGCGAGAAGCGAGGAAAGTAGGAGGCTCGGAGGAGAAGCACGATTGTGTGAGTGGCGCGGGCAAACAATCTCATGTGGTGAACATACCTGTTGGTCGTGGCCAAACAAGTCTTCTGTTTTTGGACCAGCGCCATGCCAAATGCTAGACTGAGAGCGAGATGTGAGAGAAGAGTCGGGGAGTCGACGGTGGCATTAGCAAAGCAGACTTTTTACAGACGGTTCGTCTATCAATATCTGTAGCAGTCGAAATCTATATTATCATTGGATATGGTTTCCCCTTCGTCGGGACAAGAGCCTCATCACTTGCAGCTTGACGTTGGAAATGGAGTCCAGTGGGATCCAACATGTCGACACCCGGCACCCTCGCCGTCTGGCCGTCCCAGAATCTCGGATCTCGCACGTTATAGCGTAAGCATAGGACGCCAGCTCATTTCATCTCACAAAAGACACGATCTGGGACAAGGATACATCGGCGATTTTCGATCGCGGTTGGCACCACCCGCATCGACGTTGGCTCGAGCAACGGGGATCGCGGCCCACGTAAGGAGTAGACGGCAACGACAGGGACTTGGGAAACCATTTCGTTTTCGCTAAGGGGATATCCCTGTACCTTGGAGCAAACACTACTATCAATCCTAGACTGCAAACTTGATCGTGCGGGATTTGTTAGGGGCGTTGAGGGGGCATTTTGAAGATACAGTATCTGGCTTCTGCAAATGCTGATACCGATGAGACGCAAACTTGGCTATTATGTCGACGCAACAGACTGGACTCTCTGGATATCTTGAACCGGCGGTCTGTTATCGCGGAACCGGAGGCTGGAGGCTGGCGCTGGGGATTATTTCACTTACTGCGCCGCGTTGATGCAGAACACAGACTCTTTGTCGACTCTCGAAGCGCAGACTGCGCTGAATTAAGCCGCCAATCACGGTAGACTGTTGATGTTGATGTCATGTTTTTGTGAAATTTCTCGGAGACTCTGAGGACATCGGGCTCCTGAACTAAACATCCAAAAATTTGGACACGAGAATCATTGTAGAAAAAGTCGTGAATATGTCCCCTTCCACCTTAGAGATCTATCCCATAGCTTTCTGACTTACACGGTACACTCAAAAATGGGCTTCCGATGTGCGAGGTGAATTTCGTAGACCAACACACCACAGCTCTTCTCACACTCTCCTCAGTCAAGCGGTCCTCTAAGGCGCTAGAAGGATAAGCCTTGATGGTTTATGTCCAACTGCATCGCTATTTTACAAACGCAGTCAAATACCCCTTATTCATCCAATTGCTAACGTTGAATGTCGACGTCCTTCTTTGTCTACAAGTCCACAATGGCACCGGTTCCAGGCGACTGTGAGAAAGAGACGCCGACGTCAAGGGTGGCACAAAGCGACGCCGACTCTGTCGAGAGCTCGGCCATCATTGAAGGAACGGTCTACATTTCGCTGAGCCCAGGGATTCCCATTCTTGTCTGTGATAGATATCTTTAGAACCGTTCTCGCCCTTGGGAAACGTTATGTTGCCCAACACTCGAGCTAATACAAAGCCGCAGGTAGTAACTTAAGAGATGAATAAGGACCAAAAGTTGGCGTTGTCGACTCATCATCCAATGTGAAAGCGGGCTTCAAATTCTCAAAGACGAGCCACAAGTCATACTTTCATCCGCCATCAACTGCAACCATGTGTATCAAACATTTACAGTTCTACAACTGCCCAGCCAGCCCGCGTCCTAATGCCCCCAAGAGACGACACCGCGTCATAGCCAACATCCTCTGCTCGCACATCTTCCCCTGCCCGGCCCAGCAATGGGAGAATCGCACCAGCTTCTACTGCTACATGTGCCCCGGCTGCTCGGGCGAGACCCCCGCCGTGCCCCGGGTGACCCCCTCGCACGACGAGTGGCACCGCGACGACGTCCAGGATAGCGCCTGGGCCCAGAGTTACATGACCGAGTACTCCCACTCCGTCCTACTCTGGATCCGGAGCAAATTCCCTTCCAGCGACGTCACGAACGAGGAGATGAGCGAGTCGTGGTTCCGGGCCTTCTTCATGGAGCGCCGGTGCAAGGAGAACGACCACCGCGTCGGCGCTTGCTCCTGCGAGGCGAACGGCCCGCTGGCGTTCTACTACAACCCGGCCACGGCGGCCCGCAAGTACCTCACGGATATGGCCGGGGAAAAGGCCGAGTCGGATATGCGTATACAGAACCCTGCCATGCAGAACCTGTTCAGATTCCGACATACCGTGCTCTCTGGCTTCTGTCAAGCGCAGAAGCTCTACTTCAGGGGCGGGCTTTCTCACCAGCCTCTGTTTTCGAATTACCTTGTCAAGAGCCGTCGCAAGACGCTGGACGAGAACATCCGCGACCACATGCAGCTGGCGTCAGCCTTGGTCTTGCAGAACGCAGAGTATGGCGGCGGGTGGACTGATGCGCATACCCTAGAGTCCAGCGCCATGTCGAGGCGCGCCAACCTGGTCAAGTTCATGGCAGAAGTTCTCTTGCACGACAACGGTATCTCCAACAGCCGGTTCGGCCTCGCTGTGAAAGTGCTCTGCAGCATCATCATGCCCCTGGTGTTTCGCGGTCCATCGACCGTTCCGGGGCTGGAAAATCTCGCCGAGATTGCAAGCTCGACTGACAAGGCATCGTTGCCGCATAAACCCTTCATGTGCTTTGTCCAGCTGATCCAGAAGTACTACCACGACCGCCGCCAAGAGTGGAACTCGGAAGTCATCGCCTACAAGGCGAGGCGGGCCCTGATCGATTCTGTAGCGGAGGACGTCGACGACTGGGAAGGACCGTCACGTCTCGAGTGTCCCGTCTGCAACAAGAAGTACTACGATCACTCGCCGGGCGCCATGTTCAAGCCCTTTGATCATGGCGCCCGCGGTTGTCATCGCGGAGAGCCGATCGTGCGGATGAAGAAATGCAGGTGTTTTATTGGGAAACGATGCCTCTTCCAGAAGTTGACGGAGAGTACCCTGCGGAAAAAGGAACCGGCGTGTCCCAAGTGCAAGAAGCTGCTGCCGAAATCGGCTTTTCGGTTGATAGAGGCGACTGCGGGAGAGTTGCTTCTAGGGTCTGCCTGATGAGCTAGACCGCACTGGACTGGTCGATCTTGTGAGGGCTGTGTTTTGATTTCTTGATGGATTGGCCGATAGCCGGGGCATTATTGGAAGAATGGAGTAAGAGGAAATAAATCTCGGGTGAATTCGAGTCTGTTTCCGAATGATCTCTTTATGAGCGGAGGAATGATGCTAAGGCTCCGTCAATCTATAGCTAGACTCATGGACTAAACACTGACTTATACCTTTCTCCTTTGGTACCTACGCACCAAATTCATAACTAAGTGTAAGATTCAGAGAGTAGAACTCAGAATATAGATACTATTTGTACGGATGCGCTGCCAGGTTCTCCTGATGAGCTATCATCGTCATAAATGAGGAAATATCCAACGAGCTCTCAACAGTAACGGATGCCAGTAACGGTGTCTACATATTAAACTATGTATTATCTTCTACTAGTTTTCTGGGCAATACTCTTTGGTACACCCATCGTAGACAGCGAGTTACAAGTATCGTGGCCTCAGTCCTTGCTCGTCGCAACCAACACTCTGCCCCTTAGACGATAGCCACAACCTGTTCCCAAACCCCCGACTTGATGAGCGCTGCGTTATCTGGGGCTGTCTGGAAAAGTAATGCTATAAGAATACAGCGGAATATGATCATATCGTCAGTTGTCTTTTCATTGGCCACATCTCCTCCATCACGTTGCTGGAATCGCCGTTTCCGATAGGAGCTGTCGGCCCTGGATGAGGCCACCTTGTCCAACCTGTCTAACATCTGATGAGTATTCAACAGCTCCCACTTCTTGTTGTAATGAGCGCCTGCAAGGTACTTCAGATCTTTATCGCGCGGCTTCATCTGTGCAGCCAAGGGTACTAAGACCTCATCAGAGTCTTCTTCTTGAGTCCCAGTGTTCTGGATTGAGCGGTTCTTGACATCAGAGCTCTTTTCTGGTTCCCAGTCGCTTCTTGTGCTCTCGAGAGTCTCCGGAGTGAGGCCAATGGAATTCATCAAGTCTTCGATCCATTCGAGCGTGTTAGAGTGGAGATGCCAGACAGTCTGGTCCAGTTCATCAGGAACTGGACTGGTTGAATCATCTTTCTTTGGTGCCTTCTCATCCGCTAGCGTCAACGCGAGAGTCGTGTTGCAAATGCGGATTGCGCGAGACTGAGTGGAGGATGTGTTATGGTTGGAGTTCAAGAACCAGCGATCCAGCAGTTGGAGTTGCAGATGAATGATGCGTCTCAAGTATGCCGCGACTGCTGGATGATATTTGGAAAACCAGGTTCGAAAGGTCTTGTCGTTGTGAAGCAGCTTCATGCATAGATGAAGTACAACCTTGAGGCCAACAGCTGGCTTCGTTGCGCCCACTCCCTGACACTGCAAGTGGTGGATGATTGATCGTTTAGTCTCCTTGAAAACTGCCTCGAGGGTTTCACCTTTGACCCTTCCCAATTTATCCATCCCATCATTGACCCATCGAATGACGTTTTGGTCCCAGTCCGAGGTCTGGAGCGACACAGGCCAATCAGACATGTCGTCTCCTTTGACGCTTTCTCTTGTGACATTCGTCCAGAAGTGTCCATTCAAAGCGAGAAGAGTAAGAGGAGGCCTTTTGCTCAGCAAGTCCGTAGGGAATAACGTAGGCACATATCGTGGTGTGGAAGCTAGGAACAGCCCGACAATGGGCATGTATTGTTCGTGGGAGAGGCCTCCATAGTCCAACATGAAGGCACCCTGTGCTCTGGAATGCATATCCTGCTCGGACAATTTGAGCATGTATCTTAATACCTCGACGCGGTGATGGCTGGTGCTCAGATTGATGACAGTCAATGGGTTGTTGGGCCCGGCACTAAAAAGAGATTGCCGGTCGGCCACTATGGATGCGCGTGAGTGGGATATGGCCACATTGAGACGGGATAGGCTGTGGTACGACAAGAGCTTCTCTCTCTCCTCTTTCTTCTGAAGGGCGTCCTTACCCGCCTTGGTCTTGTCGTACAGCCACTGGAGTCCAAAGATACCGGGGATGTTGCGAGAATCGTCTTGATCTTGCTGTCTTTTGCTGTACTGCGAATAGGCTCCAAGAACACCAAGTATTGGGTGTTGACGGAAGTCAAACTGAAATCCATAACCAAAGATCACAGGAAAATTTGACGATGGATCGGTGGGCCACTTCGCCCAGCCCGGTGTTGTTGAAGCGGCTGTGACAATAACCCCAATCTGCGCGTACGCAGGAGCGGCCACGAGGTCGCTGGGTAGGTAGTCAGCAGTGACTTTCCGTCTACCCAAGTCGTCTCGAGGGTCTATTCTGTCCAGTCCAACTTTGTGGAAGAAGTCAATCCAGGTTGCAGCAGGCCTGTTCTCGGAATGAGCGGAGGTCTGCCTTGGGAGAAAATAGCGGAGGATCGTTATCAAAGCACTTTTCAACCCCTCAGAGTCCTTCTCGGTGATTTTGTCGTCGGTGCTGTTTTGACACGCGATGTGCTTTTCTGGATCCGTGCACCTGGTTCTCTCTTCGCAGATCTCGTCAATGTCGCTCCCAAAGTTGGTTTCGTCGGGAACTGTTTTGATGTTGTCGATGTCCGCCTGCACCCACTTCCTCAGGGTCTGCATACGGAAGATGGGAGTGATGACAGTATACTCGTATGTCCACTGGCGCCAGTTCCATTGTCTCGAACTCTCTTTTGACCACTTTTCTCCGATGGCAAGGCGATTTGTCGTTCTGCTCCCTTGTCCAGGTGCGATGATGGTCTGAACGATGGGAACTAGAGCGAACAAAAGCGCCACAGCACCAACGATGACAGTAAAGGCAAAGGTTATTGGGTCCCAATCATACTTCGCATCGTCGGCCTTTTGAGATCCGTTCAGAATTTGGACCAGAGTTCGAAGTAGACAGTCAGTCGAGTTACTGTCCTGTGGACAGGTGGAGATGTCGGTGCCCATGGCAAAAGTATAGAAGAATGGGGTGACTCGTGCATGGTATGAGCAAGAAGGCTGGGTGGAAGAAGCCCAGGTCCTTAGATATAGATACCGGGAACCCTCATTACGAGGGCCTTGCATGAGACAAGTTAGCTGTACGGCCACTCGAAGAGAGAAAAGAACACTATGTGATTAAAACATGAGATTTCAGTAGCCACTCTATTGCATCAATATCTGTGACTTGTCGCGCAGCTGACATTGTAGATTGGCTCACCTAGGAGATGATTGATGCAACCCATCCAGACACAACATGATCTCGAGATAACACTAAACCCGTTCTAATCTCGAATCTTATCGGTATGCTAGGGCAAGTCGGGTTGTCCGCATCAGAAATCTCAGCCTCACGCGCGAGATTCGCGGGCGAGTGCGGAGGTGCTGACAACTGTGCTCTCGCGGAGCCGAATTCCCTTTCGATATATGCAAGGAGTGCTACAAGAAGCCTCTTGGCGCATATGTATCTTGACCACGCCGGCTTCAGCTCTTCTTCAAAGAGCAATGCTTGAGTGCTGGCTTGAGACACCGTTTGCTTTTCTTCCTGCTGGTAGGAGCCTTTTACTTATCAGAGAGCTATTCGGGAGCAAGGCATGGCTTGCATTTCAAATACTAGCTAAGAAGCACCACTCGATTATTACTTGCTGTTGGTATCCGTATCACAGGGTAATTGATTCGAACCGTGAGTTGACGAAGAGGTCAATTGATCTATATGAGCCACCTATAGTCCTCATGACGCTTCATACGCCCAGAGGCGCCTTTTGTCTCTCCCCTCAACACCCTCAAAGCAGAACTGAGATCCTCGCGGGGACCATCATGCTACAGACGGCAATCCGGCTTTAGCGGGTGGAAAATATACAATTCCGCCGTATATGCAGGTCTGCCTGCCGGCAATGCATATGAATTGTTTCCAGCTGCTTCATCCCGTCGGCCGTCGTCAAGAGATAGGGGTGGGACCAGTCTGTCTCTGCTATGACTCTGCCGATCATTACAGTAAGTGAGAACTGATCCAGGTCAGGATGGGTTCAGCTGAACTCGTTTCTGTCAATATTGACTCACTCCTGCATCTGGGGGCCGCGATACATGTTGCAAGCCATAAGGCGATTCTACCATCGTAGAGAGCCAGATGTCTCTTTTTCCCCCTCTAAAGTAAGCAAGTGTCGGATTGGAAGTCCAATTCGACCTCGTGGCCATGGGCCCACGTAGGGGCCACCTACAGACCATACTGACGATAATCGTAGCCCACCCAAGCTACTTGTAGGTCGGAACCTCATTTACACCTCTCGCAGAATATGGAGAGAGTGGCCCCTCCTCACATCAACAGTGCACCTAAAACCAACAGGAAGTCTACTCGAGTATATCCGCCCCAACTTTTGGCAGATTATCAAAACCAGTCGGGCCAATGGTACGCTGGAGAACAAACTGTAGGTCAAAAATCCTTCCCACTCTTCCCCATCATTGCAACCCAACAACTACTACTGCCTTTGCCAATTTTTGTTTAGCAAGGTCTAGACTTACGGTATGCAAACGTGAAACAGTGTGAATACAAACAAGAAATATTCAGCCTTGGGAGCAGTCATAGCGGTCAAACGAAGAGTTTGGCTGTTTCGAGGATCATTCTCGCGATGGCTTCATGTCATCGTGTAGATGGGACTGGCTACAGTCTAGAACGTGGGGTGAGGTAGAGTGCAATTGGAAAGGGTGAAAAAGGTGGTTAAGAACTGGTGATGGCAGTTTGTCGTCGATTCGAGAGGCGGGGACAATAGTACTGTCCAGTACTTATCTGCGAGAAGGGGACATACGTCCGTGGTAAAGCAGACTTCACCTCCGATATATAGGCTGCTCTTCTACGACCACAGTTGGTTTACAAACCGGTATGGACGTGGTAGAAATCACATCTCGCACACAGCATCACACATGCGAGTCACAGAGAGGGGCAAGTCCAGAATGAAAGTGGTAAAAAAACCCAAGCCCAAGAGATGCCATTCGACGCCATTAAGAGAAGGTTTCGTAGTCGTCAATTCTTCTTTTTTTTGGATACCTAACCACGCCATACCATGCAAGAAAAAGTGTTCCCTGTAAAGCACGACAGGAAGCGCAGGGGATATCTCAACCCCACGCCACCCGTCTTGTGATAGCGTTGTTCTTGCTTCTGGTCCATACCTGCGCGACCAGGCCACGCACGACCGAACCCCAGAGTGAAAAAGAGCCAAGCAATGATGGGAAATACCACCAACGCTTAGACCTTGAAACCGCGGGACCTTCTGCGACCACGGGCCTTCTCGAACTTGCGGCCCTTGGACTCGACGTAGGGCTTCTGCAGAGGGTGTTAGTACTGTTCTCGTAGCATTTCCACTGGACCAGGCGACATGATCGTACCTTGTGCTTGTGGGGACCCATGCCGAAGTGCTTGACGGCCTCACGGGAGTTCTTGGGTCCGCGAAGGAGGAGGGTGTTGCCACCGGTGGGGGCGCGGAGGGCGAGCTGGTCGAGGGTGATGGCCTCGCCGCCGGCAGCGGTGATGCGAGCGCGGGCGGTGGCGGTGAAGCGCAGGGCAGCGACGGTCAGCTTGGGGACGGTCAGGAGACGGTTGTCGTCAGTGACGGTTCCGACGATGACGACGGTGCGCTTGTCCTCCTTGTCCAGGTTGCCGACAATGCGGGAGATGGAGACGGGAGGGCGGTTGATGCGCGACATGAAGAGACGGCGCAGGATGACCTTGTTGAAGTTGGAGTCGGTGCGACCTGCAAAAGGTTAGTCGATTTTCTTTCGTTCGTCGCGGGGTTCTTGGATCGAGGTCAACGTACGGGTCAAGAAGCGGTACAGCTTCACGAGAAGCTTGAGGTACACATTGTCGCTCTTGGGAGCCTTGCGGTGCGTGCTGCGCACGTGGTGGCGGTCGAGATCGATACCTATAAACGGGGGTGAAGAGCCCAATCGTCAGCCTTTTTGTTCAAGCATGCTCTGAATGCAGGCGAGAAAAGTCCATCATCCGTCGACCACGATGCGATGAGCTCTGGTACGAATCTATTTCTCCCCGCAGAGCGCAGGAGTAGAGACGAAGGCATCATCATCTTGTGGTGAGGAGAGGATTCCTTTTCCTTTCGCCGCGCCAAGTTCGCAGAAGAGGCAACGGCAGATCCGATTCATCTCTCACCAGGTCCAAGTATTTCGACGAGGACAATCAGAGAGACACAAAAGGACCGCGCGTTGCACAATTCCACTCGCATGTAAAGGCTTGAATGGGAAATTCCTACGTACCCATTTTGTCGATAGACTCCCGAAGTTGGCGAATTGAGTCAAATGGGCGGCCGTGATGTTGTCGTCGTCGGTGTAAAAGAGAAACTTTCAAAAGATTTCCGCTGGGCCACACTAGAATTACGCACTCCTCGCCAGGCGGAAAAATCGGGCTGTGTGGGCTTTAGGGCAACTGAAATCAACGTCGAGTGGATCAATAAATTTTCCGGTGGGTCCTTTTCTTCCAGAGGGGCGCTCCTGTTGAACGGTGGACCTGCACGGACCCACTCTATGGAAAGTCTGCAGGGTCCCCTGCATCCTCGGTCAGTCTCGGTCAGACCTCTTTTTCGGTCAAGGCAATGTTGACCGAGGTACTCCAGTGCATGTCGATATAACCAGAGAATTTCTTCACAAAGGGATGAATGACAAAGAGTTTAGAATAGCCCAGATGCTCCCATCCTTAACCTCTAGCTGATGTAGTATAGGCATTTACCACCTCACCAGCATAAAAGGCACTCTTGTGAGCTCGATCCATGTCTTGTATTGAGCTAATGCTTGGTCTACCCATTTGGTTCTTTGTGCATCGATCCTACTGGGAAAGCGGTGCCCGTTTTCACGTTTCCATGATGCCATGCAGGAAAGTCACATGACGTCCTCGCCTCTCTTGGAGTCTTGTTGTAATACATTATCAAAACACTGGTGATTGAAATGCCAGGTTGGAAAGGAACAACCCGGGGAGAGGCAGTCTCTCTGCCTCGATGTGACTGTTATGCCAGCCACCGTCTAATAAAGGCATTCCGTTGACCCTGGTGATCGTTGGAATCCTCATACCGAAGGTCCCCTTGACGAGTCCAATCGGATGTAAGTAAAGTAATGTGAGCTACATCTCATCTCAGAGAGCAGCCTCGCCGTCACCATCAGGCCTGAGAGAGACCAAGAAGTCGCGTGACAGCTCAAAACTGAGCCAGCTGGATGCCATGCTCGGCGCAACCTTGAGAAGATTAGGGACGATGCCCTTGTACAGGCCCTTGACGCCCTCCTGAGTAATGATGACCCGGATAGCGTCAGTAATGCCCTTGTACTGGTAGCCCATGCCCGTCATGGTGTTGATCTGGAATCTTCGGCGAAGAACGTCGCTACATCTGTTAGCAAGACAAATGATAACTCATGTCAGCCATGTCGACTCACAAGGGATAGGTGCAGGTCTGAGCGACAGCTCCAGAGATGGCACCAGCAAGCAGCTTCCTGACGGCGCTGGGGTTCTTGTCACCCTCGGGGGTTAGGTACTTGCGTACATACTCGTAGACCATGAAGTTGAGGCCGACCTGTGTCGTCAAGTTAGAGTCTAGGACCAATTTCATCTCGAGACAGGGGAACCACGTACGTAGGGGGCAACACCAGCAACGGTGGGGATGATGCCACGGTACAGGGCAGAGATACCGCCCTCCGTCTTGTACATGGTGCCCATGACAGTCCACATGCCCGGGAGCTTCTCGGCCCTAGGGCCTAGCTCTGCAAAGGAAGCAGTCTGGATAGACAGTCGAGTGCGAACAATGTCGAGAGGATATGTGCAGAAGACGGAAGTGATACCAGCGATACCACCACACGTCAGACGGGCGAGAGGAGAGAGGTCTGCGCCGGGAGAAGACTCAAAGAAGTTCTGTGAGTCGTGCCGCGTTAGCCTTGGTTCTTTGCAGCGGCTCATGTGAGCCACACTTCCGACCCAGCACAAGGTGGTCAAAGGCGCGTGGTACTCACCCGCTTGTAAAAGTTGTAACTGCCGAACTGAACGGCAGAGTACGGCACAATGCGCACACAATTGGTGCCATTGCCAGCCATGAAGCCTCTCCAGCCTTCTTCCCTCCACATCTTGGCCAGACCTTGGCCTACAGACAGCTTGTAGGCATCGCGTCCTACGCTCTGGACCTGGAACAGGATCTTGAGGCGCTCGAGGGGGGAGACGACGGTTCGAGAGACGGCACCAGCAACACCGCCAGCGCAGAAGGCGGCAACGACGGGCTGGGAAAAGGTATCGCGAAACCAGAGGTACTTGACCGGTTCCGGAGCTGGGCCCGGAGCAGCAGCAGGAACCGCCGCATCATTGAGAGACTGCCAGTGTAGACTGGATGTCAGCAAACCTTTGACTTGCTGCAGACAAAACTTGGTAGATGGCCGGGCAGAGCGATGTAGCAGGGCAGGAAGGATGCTTGCAAATGCAGCAGCTGAGAACGGGCAGCACTTACAGGCGACATGACTTCAGACTCTGGTCAAGGAGCAGTGCGGATGGATGTGTGCGTGTTATTGCAAGCGCAAAACTCGTGATTGACGACCACACTGCTGAACCTCCGAAGCCACCTGGTTGCTATGACTGTGCTTGCATTTAAGACTGTTGAGGGCGGGAGGGGGAAGGATCTCGTAGTACTCGATGAGGTTTGCGACTTTCTGGAGGAACGAGAAGGAGCGCCGAGGGGGAAAAGTATGCTCGAGGGGAAAAAGAATGACCCAAAAAGTCCAAAGAAAAAGAGATTCAGGTATTCTAAGAGAAGAGTGGTAACGACGACGAAGGCATAATCGAGCGGACAGTAGATGGAGAGGAGAAGGATTCGAGCATCAAAGGTGACTCGTGGCCGCGAGCTGGTGCGGCTAGGCGGTGGTCGTGGGTATCGCGGGTTTTTCTGGTTGCTGGGTTTGGACGAGGGTATTTCGCATGTGCCGCGGCTAAGCTGACAATGACAAGAAGGTATGGCAGGGGCAGGGCGCTTCGATTCGGTTGACGAGGGTAAACGAGTGCTCGACGAATTGATGATTTGGCACGAAGCAGACGAGGATCGTTTCGAGGGATGTGCGAGCAAGAAACCCTTTGGTCGGGACGGGCAGAGGTTGAGGTCGAGTATTAACAGAGTCGGTTCGGTCGACGGGGACAGGAAAGAATAGCGACGAGACGGAGGGTGAGGGGGGCCGGCGTAATTGACAAAAGGCGCGCGATGTGTAGGAGCAGAGCCTCGACAAGCTTGGAGCTTTTGCGCCGAGACCTTTGGTCCTTGGTCTTTGGATGCGGTGACAGGTCGTCGAGGGGCGAGGTGTGAGGAAGAGCTGGAGGTCGCGAGGAACGAATTAGCTGGTTGTGAAGGGGCGGACGCAGTGACCAGATCCCAACGACGCAGATCGAATTTCAGCTCCCTCCCAGGCGGAAGATGGAAAGTGGCTGCTTGGGACCTCGACGAAGTACTTGGGGTACTTGCGATGATGTAACTGGCTCCAAATTTGAGGGCTACAGGGCAGTTGACAGCACTTCAATCAGCCCAAGGCGGACAGTCTCTAGGGGACCCCGCGGGCCACAGCGGCTGTGGCTCACCCGCCGGCTCTGGGCACGGAAAGTGTCCGTTGGTCACCACAGCTGAGGAACCTCGGGATGTGTACATCTCGCCTGGTACCTCTACCTGTCCCTCTTGAGGCGGCTGCTTCTTGTAACCTGAAGACTGGAAACCAACCCCGGCTTACCCTTTATCCGCTGATACCACCCGTTAACAATCAAACCGGAAAATGATGCAGCTGCCGGAACAGCTCAATTTCAGTTGGTAACTTCCTCTCTTCTTGAAATCACAATCTTGCTTCCGCTGAGTGGATGGAGGGCTCTCCGGCCTTGTTGCTCTCCTCGCTTTGAACTCCACTCCCATGACGACAATCTGGGGGAAAATGGGGTAGCCAGCTTCCGTATGTGAAAAGAATACGGTACAGGCTCGCAAGAACACATGACCACATTGAGAATCTTGGTATCCGGGAACTCATGATATCTCATCTCGCACTCACAGTGATAGAACAGGTATAGCCACATCCCATCGGCACAGTTCAGCCAGGATTTGGTGTTGCTGCAATTCTCACCCAGGTTGCCAAACACTGTTCAACACCGCCAATCCTGCCTGGGCAAACTATCCCAAGCGACTACCGCCAATCCCGAGACCCAGGTCCGGCAGTGCCTCCATTTTCTCCCCTCATCCATCTCGGCGGCGTCCGGGTCACATCAGCGCGAGTTTGCCGAGAAACCCTCCCTTCGGCACCCCGACCCTCCGGATCCTCCCTATCAACACCCAACTACCTGCCTTAGTCTTCGGAGATCACCCCGCCCTCCTCCAGCTTTCCCCGCATTGCATCACGGAACGTTCTATTTGCTGTGTTGTCGTTTAGCAAGCAAATAACAAGCAGCTCGCTATCGCAAAGCAACCTGAGATATGTACTACCTAGGTACATGGGTGATCAAAATATGCAGCTGGGTTTGGGTAGTAGCAATTCGGTTTTCTCAGAGTACTTTAAACATAATACCTTTAGCCAATGGTTTAGTAACCCTTACCTAAAGTCACAGGGTATGTTGCCTACCTTACGCTTCAATGTCTTTCTGTGGATGATTTCAACCAGTTGCGTTTTCACACCTTTTACAACCTTCAAAGCCCCCAACAGGCAGAGACGGCAGGCTATATTTTTTACAAACTGCTTCAATAACGCAGGAATTGCTTTAGCAACCATAAACACGTGGACTGCTTGACTAGACGTTGCTCTAGAGGGAGTTTTCCCTGACCAACGTATGTGGTTGGTTGCTACACGATCCAAAACAGATCAGGGTCATGGCCGGATTATCACCAAATCAAAACCCAGTCAACTCTGAGCTCAATTGTGTCAAAGAGCTTCAAATTAAGCCATCAGGCCAGATCTGGAGGCTGCTGTAAAAAACCTACATGTCAATTTCTAACTACTAGGGGGTAATGCTTTCAAAAGACCGCCTCGCCAATAATTTCGCGCCGTTTCGCGTTCGTTTCCGAAACGTATGTCCCGCCGATATCGAGTCTGGATAGGTATGTCTGGTGACTCGGATGCTGCCAACATCGGACAGCCCGGGGTGTCGTGTGCTGAACTCGAAGAAGCCGGACCGGTCGCATCGAGACTAAATATCTCCCAGAAGGTGAGGACACTTTACAGATCCAGGATTCAGATGGTGTGTGAGAGAGAGAGAGGAGAACCGGGTGAGAAATCAGA